CCTCTAAGCTTGCTAATTCCCATTCTTTCCACAGCAAAACATTTATTATATTAAATAATAAGTAAAGTAATTAATCAACTATTTTCTCTAAATTAGATTAGCTTTAATTGTTTTTCAAATCCCCATTCTTGATAAGATCAACAGTCATTAATAAAATAATACCATTCACCATAATTTTAAATAAATCATATTATATAACTAATTCTGGATTGCTAAACTTGATTAAGGATTATTAGCACATTGAAAATCAAGGATTGTGTTGGTTAGTAAATTTAATGCATTTTATTGATTTTCAGCCGTAAAAGAGGAATACAACAAAGAATTTGAAATTATATAATTTTAACATAAATGGAATACAAAATTTATATAATATCTAATGAAATCACCAATATCCACCATGTTCTTTGGATAAATGCTCGTAGCATTCTGAAGAAGTCTTAAACACTTTCATACAAGGAACTCCCTTGTTGTTATTTTTCCAACAAATACTCTGTTTACAAACAGAACAAGTCACTCTATAACATCCATCAATCCTCTAAATTAATGCTGAACAACTTGGGCATTTTCTAATGTCTTACTCTTTCATTAACTTTAACAGTAACAATGAATCACCAATCTTATTTTCCTCACATGTTAATCCAGGATGTCTTAAAGCCTATCTTAGATTATATACTTACTTTGCATAAACAACAATATTATTTTAAACACATATAGCAACTTATTGCCTTATCTTATTATTAGATTTGCTCAAAATTATTGCATCCTGGAGTATAGCAAAATGTCACATTCTAATTATTATCCTAAACAAACTTATTGAGCGCCAAATTTATCAAACTTTCCTTGTTTTCCTTCCCAATTATTTGCAATATATCATTTAATATCATTTTTTCATTGCATACTGGGCATCTTACAGGAAACAGCTTTACATCTTGTAAAACACTGCTACAATGCAATGAAATACACTCTAAACAGCACTTATGACCACAACCTTATAATAAATAACTGTGTTTAATATTATCAAAACAGATTGGGCATTATGCCTATTTGACTTCATTTATGTCTGCTTCTCCTTCTAAGTTTATTTAAGAAACAGCAGACTCTATGCAAGCAACAGCATCCTAAATATTTTAGCCAGATCCCTCTAAAAACAATTCTTTACTCTATTATTTGTATTTGATTTAGGTCAAATTAAATTACTTCTTGAGACTATCTAGACCTTAACCTTTTAATCCTACTAATTCTTTTAATGCTCCTGGAGGTATTATTAACTTATGAGAAACCACTGCCTATGTAATTTGATTAACATATTCAGTAATCTCGTTTAATTTTTCTTAAGAACAACATACACGAATCACCTTCTTATATTGGTCAACCATAAAATGTATGCCTCCATCCAACATCTCAAAATCTTTTAACTTATTTTATCCAAAAGTGGTAAACAGAAAATCCCCATTATTTTTTACTTCCACTTTGTAACCCTACAGGAAATTAGTCAAAATTTGATCTAATTATTAGTGTACTAAAATATTCTAAGAACGAATAATAACTGTTTGTTCTGTTTGTTTGAATTGATTTCCTTATTCAAAATTAACTTTGAAATTAAACTTTTCATGTTCCTTTAGAATTTTTTAAATATGGGGTTTGAGTTGATTAAGGATTTTATGATATTGATAATATTATCCTTGACAATGAACTTTAACCAGATTTGTTCCGAATTGTATTTTCTCTCCGTTTAAAATTTCTAATAATTTCTGCATAGTAGGAACACTTGAAATTGTAATTTTAGCTACTCTTTTCCCTCCTGATTTTCTAATCAAGTGAGTATGATTAAAATCAACATCCTTTTTTTCATTTCTTTCAATATTCCTATTGATTAAATGAATTATTCTTTATGAATAGTCTTCCTTACTTTCTTGAAGAGTCTTCGATTGTAAATCAAGGTATTTGATGTTTTTTTTACCTCCACACAACATTAAAATATCTATTTCAGTTGTGAAAGAACTTAAATTTTAGAATTTTAATGTAACATCATCAATTTAACTAATTTTAATCTCTTTTCCATCCAATAGCTGATTATTAAATTGATTTACACATTTTAATGCTTACTCAGCTTCATTAAAAATAACAATACATATTCCTGTGCATAATTTTGAATACCATATGACATTCAATATATATTTTGATTAATTAATCTATTGTTATTTTAGAGTTTTCTATTCTGTGATAACATTAATAATTCTATCTTAATACTCTGATTAATCATATCCTTAAATAATGTAAGGCATGTCATCTTTATCTTCAATAACAATTTGAGCCTAAGTCTCATTTTCCAAATAGTTTAATTTAAGATGAGTTATAACTGTGAAGTCTTCAAATAATTCTTTGATTTCATTCTCTGTTACCTTGGGTGGTAGTCCCACTAGCTTAAACTCTTTGGATTCATGCTCCCTTATCCATTCACTAATCAGGGCTCCACTCTAGAAAATTAATTTTTTTCCACTAACATGTTTGATTTCCAAAATTTAGGTTTTAAGATTCTCCTTAATCTTTTCAATTCTAGCGTATAATTCACTCATGTCCACGGCATCATCAGAATAAATGGATATCAAATTCAAGTAGACATTTGGTTCAATTGAACAATTATATTTATTTTCTAATTCAGTAATTTCAATGCCTTGATTTTTCCAAAGTTCCTCCAAAATTGCATTGCCAACATTATTTATAATTAGTTCTTTTTGAACTACAGATGTTTTTCTATTCTTATTATGGAGATATATAATTGAGTTCTCTTTCAAAGCCAAAATATGAATGTGCTATTAGAGTCTTCCTTTTTAAGATTGTATGCAGCATTAGTTTAATTTAAAACTATGCTCCTAAACATGATATAATTTATCTTCTTTTAATTCTGCCATAGGAAAATTCTGCTTTAATTGTTCCTCAACTTATGGTTTATCTTCTTGAATTATTTACATACTGGATGATCTTCTAATTGGAGCCGTTAATCCTCCAAAATTAAGTATATTGATTGAAGGGCAATTCTATAATATTTATTTATTTTACATATTCTTGAGAGAATTACTGAACATAAAGCAAAATAAGCATTCCCTTATATAGATTGACCAGATTATCTTCACACCATTTTTCTAATTAAGTTAATTCAAAAATGCTTTAATTTTTATCAAAATCAGCGTTGAGCAGGATTGAATTGATAAAAGTTCCAAGCTATTCAATTATTTCGATCCATGAATAGGCATCACCCTTATTTGACCAAAGCTGACTTATTCTGATTGTTAAATTTGAATATTTTTAATATTATAGAAGCATGCCTGTGGTATTCAAAGCTCCTTTAATAATTGCACTGTTTTTGGATTTATCAAACTATTCAACATGGTTGTCCAATTAATGAGATTCTGGTTAAATTGCTTTTGGAGGAAGAGAAACATATGTTTCCTTGGGAAAGTTGTATATAATTTAGACTCCCATTGAATTAGATTTTGGAATTTCTCGAATTATAAGCTCTTATTTAGACAGTAATTGATCACTATATAGGACACTACTCTTTATGAAGGGTTTTATAATCTCTTTGTATTGAGTGTGAATAATCAGAGTGATACATTCAGATTCCAAATATTATGGGTCAATTAGCAAGTAAATGATATGACTTGTTTACAAACTCTTTCTTTAATCTAGCTTTTAATACAAATCATTAAATTCTGGTGACAATCTAACCTAAATTTCACCTAATTAGGATAATGCTTTTGCCATTAATTATATTTCATTAACATTTTTACAGTAAATCAATATATCCTGTTCTTCTTGTATGTATTTGAGTAAATATTCATATATTTAATCAACTCTATCCATCTCCTCTTTCCATAGGAAGGAATGTACCAAATTACACCCAGGAATGCATTAGTATTGCAATTCCTCAACATTTTAGGAATCAGTCTCAATCGTTTCATTAATAATTAAGTATTATATCTAGTCATCTATTTTATTTGGGATGGATGTTGCAAATGTGAGATCCAAACTATTAGGTAACTCCAATTTTTGGTTTGTTTAGACCATTATGATTTTTAATTGATCTTAGTCTTCATTATTAAATTACAATCGCTGTAGAATAGACTTGAAGTATTTTTATCTGCTGTTGAGTAATGATTCTCTAGTCATGTAGTAATTATGAACTTAAGTTGAGCTTTCAGCAATTTAAAATTAATCCATCCTTTTAGAAATTCCAAATTTTTTTTTAAAGACTATTTATTAATTAAAATTTATTTGTTTTGTAAATACTTTTTTATTGCAAGAATAGTATATATGATAAATAATCATAAACTTAAAATAAACATTATTTCTTAAATATCTTAAACTTCAATTCTATCTTTTTGATTTAAATTCTTACAAATTAATAGTTTTTATTATTTCGTTTTCCACTTATTTTGCCATTAATTTAAAAATTACTCAAGTTATTTCAATGGTTATTGTATATTAATAGAAATTAGTCGGAAAAAATGAAATTTAAAATTCCTATTATAAAAATAAAAGAATAATATGTGTTTTTATCTTGTGTTTCTTTATTAGGATCTATACTTAAACTATTACTAACTTTATGAATTCTATTAATATAATTGATTTTAGTATGTTTTCATGAAAACTACCCGTTGATGCATTATTAAATTACTTTTATGAATTCTTTATATTGTTTCTAGTTAAGCAACTCATACTCTTTTAACAGTTATCCTTATAAGAAATTATAAGTATTTATTGGATATTTTTCTGAGTGTACTTATCAACAAAATATATAATATGAAGGGTATTAAGTTATTGGATCTTAAGGGTTATTCAGAATTATTTATTTAAATTAAATTCTAACAATTATAATAGATTTGAAGTCACTTAGTACATTAATTTATAAAAAAATGAAAGTTCATTATATATTGAATTTGGTTGATTTTTACATATAAATTAATTATATTGATATAAAATAATATATTGAATATTTTATGGATTTAATCACCACCAACAAATCAATCATTTGCATTCTAGGAGATTACAAAGATAAATTAAAAAGTCAATTAACTAATTTTGAAGGTGGTATGCAATAGTAAGAAATCAAATCTATTTAGATTCATTATTTTGCTTGAATTGGATTATAAAAAGAAATCTCATCAAGGTGGGGGAATCTTTAAATTGTCATGGCTTCACAAATTAAAAACTGTATTTTTAGATTGTATTTATTTTAGTTTCCCTCTGTTGTTATATGGATATATGACATCTCTGAACGTATAGATTTGAATTATTATAGCTGAGAAATTGGATAAACTATTAGAAAATTACAATATCTTAAAGTAAACCATTTCATTAGCTAAATCCTTCTAACCTAAAATCATGATAGTACTTACAGGCAAAAATGTGGGAGGACTTGATTTTAATTACCTAAAGAAGGAAATTGATTTAAGAAAGGTCTTTGCAGTTGAATTTGAAAACATCGGTCAACAATTAAAAAGGTAATCTTAAAGCCACTAAATTTTAATTTAGAATTAAGAAAATGATTGTGGATGACTCAGGCACTTTCTATTAAGAACTATTTAATAAGTATAAGTCTGAAACCAGCAAATTGTAAAAGTCTGAATTGAGTGATTAGAAGTTGATTTTTGAAATCAAGAAAACTCTAATTAGTGAAATTGAAAACAATGCAAAAAAGGCAAATAAACATATGTAGACATCTTATGAAATTGTGACTTTATTGGCAACAAAAAGGAAAGATTACTTAAATTTTACAGATGATAATTCATTCTTCACTTCCTATGAATTGATTTAACAAGCAGAAGAATATAGAGAAGTATTATCATGTTTCAAAATTATAGATTGCTGATCAATTAAGATTCAAATTATTCAGAAATTTAGATATTCAAGATGTAATTTAACACTTTGAGGTTCACTTCAAAACCTTTAAAAATTTAATATTCCACAAATTTTTTGAAATACAAGAATATTTATGGAGAGTCAAAATCTTTGTTGCTATTATTAAATTTATTGAATCTAAGCTAATGGTAACCAATTATACCATTGTGTATAACTATTTCCAAGTACATATATATCAACTAATAATAGGCAACTTTGTTAAGTTACATCAAATTGATACAACTTAATGATATGTTCTCAGATTAATCGATTCAATAGTTTGGCTTTTTAATTTCGAAATAGGAACCAGAATATTTAGGAAGACCAAATTACTAAATTCGAGAAAAAGAGAATGAATAGCCTATTGATATAAAATCAGATTAAAAGCTATTCTATTTTAAACACATTATCAATTATAGAAGAAATGAAATTAATTTAGCCCCGAATGTGTAATTCATTTTTGATTTCTGGAAACAGTATAATGAAAATAGTTAGAATCAAAACAATTATGCAAATGTTTATTTTAAATACTTATAAATATTAATCACTTAGAACTTTGAATTAAAATCCTAAATTGCTGATCAATTAATTTCTTATGGATTAATTGATGAATACAAAAATATCCTATACTTAGAAGCCTAATCTGCATAATTGACAAAATAAATATAAATTTATAGCGATATTTTAATATATGAGCAGGATAAAATTTAAGATATCAAGAAATTGGCTTCGCAATTAAATGAAAACTTAGATATTGTTATTCCTGCTAATACTTTTATATCTATTTCTAAACTTGAATCTGATGAACAAAGTATTCAGCTAAAAATAGATATGAATATAACTCAGCAAATTTTAGACATGATTGAGACTGGATTAATTATCAGTAAGAATCAACAAATTGAATTTATTGCAACCAATCATACTATTATAAAAACAGATAAAAATATAGAAAAACCAGTTCAAATTCAACTTTTTGGAAAATATTTGTAATTTAATTTTTTTAATATATGTAGGGATAAATTATCAATTAAAATTATTGCTAAAGATGTAGAACTTTATTCGAACAAATATAAAGTTGGGTTGCTATCCACTTATAAAAGAGATCCTCCCATTATTACATTTAAGTAGGACTTTGCCTATATCAACGAATTAAATGAAATTGAGGTGGATTTGAGTTATCAAACTGAGGTTGAGCTATTGAATTTTAATTAAAACAAGAATTGTCTCCTAAAATTAAAGGAAACTAATAATAATACAATAAATAGCAGACAATTTACTTTACAAATTACAGATAGCATTATTCATGATAGAATTGTTGGATTTAAAATATAAGGAGAGGAATATTTTAAGAAGATTAAGTTTGTTTTCCCATTTACTTACTTTATAAAAATAAAATAATTAAGCAGTGTGTTTTAAAATGCTCAAAATAGAAATCGAAATACTTTGAGTGTTTTTAGTAAATGTGCAGTTTAATTGGAAGTGTAAAATATTGATTTGATTGAAACTGAATTTGTACCATCTGTTGATCTTGATTTTTATAATAAAAACAAATTGAATGTTATTTTTATGACCAGGGATTAAACTACTTACTCCAATTTTGGACAATATAAAATCAAATATTCAAGAAATTAGATGAATTATGAAGCTATAGTTGATGTTGAGAATGTCAATGTGATATCATATTTGCAGAATGTGGAGATAATATCTCCCCCTACATCCAACGCATAATAGACCTTTGAAATTGTTGTCAAATTAAAGACTAGAGAACCATAAAATTATTTCATTCAGTTAAAGGACCAAGATAAAAAGCAATTCTTTATAATGGGCAAGATAAAACAGATGAAATTTGTGGAGGACGAAGCAAGTTTTTCTTATTTATTATTTCCAATTGAATTTGGAAAGTGCAATCTTCCTGGAATATTAATTGAAATCAGACAGCCCAATAATCCTAGTCAGTTAGTTTTCGATTCTTCAGGAATGAAATCCATTTTAATATTACCTTGAAATTATAAAAAATATATTTGTTCAGATTATTATTAGTCTACGTTTATTAGTTGGTTTAATTAATCAAGTGTTTTCGTTTTTTAAGTTATATATTATTATTTATGGGTTGTGCAAACACAAAGAGCAGAAGCTAACAAAGTAGCAGGTCATCATTCGATAGTGAACCCAAAAACTTAAAATATTTGGCATTCTCAAATAAATACAAAAATGGAATACCTTAACTATAGAATGTAAAATTCATATAAACATCTAGATTTCAGTTAGCACTATCCTTTAGAGAAGAAAAAATTTTGGCAACTATTCGGTATGAGGAAGAGAGATATATTAGTTATATATTTTATCTGATTATACTAGTAAAATATGTAAATATTTACAATAATTCTTCTATAAAATTATTTACTTTGTGTTATTTACCTGATTGCCCTTTTGATAATACAGGAATACCTTACCAACAAAGTATTCTCAGGTATTCCAAATCAAAAGGCTTCAAATTCTTTAGTTGTTCGTTTTAGGCTTGAGAAAATTAATTAATTTTTCTGTTTTGAATTGCAATTCATTAGAAATAAATGAATGAGAATGTAAATAATTCTTTAAAACAAATTTTAAAGGTAGTACAGCTTTTTTGATAATAAAAAGTCGAGAACTGATTGTCTTTCATGGATTTAGGGATATTTGAAGTGGTAAACCTTGTATGTGTGGTTCCTTGTTTATAAATTGATATTAATTTTATTATTAAGTTTATAGCTAATTTAGCTTTAATAATTTAATCTTTTGGCTTATGATGGAATTAACTTAAAGGCTTATCGAGCATTATTTGGATTTAATGACTTCATCTCCTAAAATTCAGTTAGGAGAATCACTATTTTAAAGTGCCATTTTATTGTAATTTATTTTGAGACTCCATTTCATATTCCCATAGGATGGATGGGATGTTTGGAAATACACAGATTATAAATTGCATGTTCCTTATGTCATATTGTCCTTTTTATATCAAGAGATATCAGACATACTTAAAATACTTCTCATATTATTCAATGTTATAATCTTCATTCTCAGCTTTTTTAAAGTTTAATTCGTTTTCTATTACAATAACCTTTTATGGAATGTATTTTATATACCCTAAGTAGCAATGCTTTCAAGTTCATCAGAAAATATTGGAATATCAATTTTTGGAATCCTGCTCCTATTTTTTATTCTAGTATTTAATCTCTATTTTAATCGTTCAACTAAATTTATTCATAGCAATCCATTCATACGGAAATTCACTTAATTGACAGTAATTAGTGCAGCATTGGACACAATTTGCTACATTGATTTTGAATTTCACATTTTGCAAATAATTTTACTACACATTTAGGGAATAGCCCTTTGCTTAGATATAATTATCTTTAAACCCTATAAGTTCTAGTTTAATAAAATAGTGTTTCAGTATAACTTTTTATTTTACATCTTGGTTGTAATTCATACCCTAATGTTATTCAATAAGTCAGAGGAGAATATGTTTTATTTTACAATTCTAATAGGCACCTTAGCCTATGCACTTTCATTTCAATTGTACGACCGATACGCAGACATGGATTCTTAAAATTAGTACATAATTCTAGTTTAATGCCAAGAGTTTTATTAATCTTAGGACATCCAATAACATTTAAAACTAAGACAGCACAAAAACAAATGTGTATCTTAACATGAAGACCAGAACAAGAATGAAGTATTAATTTGCTATTTAGAAAATAACATTTCAATCAATAAAAAGTAGAAAATCGATTATGAGATCTTAGAATTAGCCTTAATCCACTTTCTATGTGTTCATAAAGCTCCTTTGACTGCACTATGCCGACTAAAATAGTATTATAATATCCCACATGATCATTCCTTGTTTTTTAGAATAACATTTCCAAGTCAACATAAATAGTTGTGGAATTCAGTTACAAAGGTTTAGGATGGAATAAATCAACTTTTAAAGGCAGGATAGTATTAGGATGTTCGCATTCTATCTACAAAGGATATATACGAAGCAGTTAAAATAAGAGAAATATCGATTCCTTTGATTCTGAGTACTCTTGATCATAAAATAAATTACTGGAAATAATTGATATCATTGATAGCAAATGTAAAGAAACTATTCTAGACAACATGTTCATTGAGTCAAAAATTATTGGACTGCCGATTAGTATTGTAAAAACTATATAATTGTACCAATATCGAATAGATTGAGGAGCCAAGAACAGTCCTAGAAGTCTTGGTGTTGATAATTTATTATGCAATAATTATCAACGATCATGAATAAGCTATGAAGATGCAGAAAGTAATGAATGACATTTTGCGATCTGAAAGTTTGGTTGAAGGAAAACTACTTAACGGTAACATAATGGAAAATAAAATTTGTTTATTGTACACCAGTATTGTTAAATCATAAGGATCGATCATAAAATTAAATGCTTAATAAATAGCTTAATTTTGGGGATACGAAAATGAAATGGATTTTAGAGATATTAAACACATAAATCAATTGATGCCAGACTTTTTAGCCTCTGTTCATGATCAATATCTTGAGAGATTCAAGAAGTTAGGCCATAGCATTTTATTTGGTAAGAGTAGAACAGTGTTTTTGAAAGGCAAGAACAATTTCTACATTCCTGCAGATATTACTATTGATAATTTTTTTATCAGTTATGATGATTATGTTATAACGGCTGCATTTTCCAAAACAAAGGAAAAATGTCTATTCATGCTTTTTGATCACAAAGGTAGAATCTTAGGTGTCAATAATTTGATGTTCAAATTACTTTAAACTATAGATAAAACAATAACATAGGAACATCTGTCCTCTGGTTATGTGTTTTAATTAATCCCAAAAATATTCAATTTAATTAATGCCTATCGAAATTCTGAAGAAGAAGTCAACTAAGACGATAAGATTATTTTAAAAATTGGAAATCCCATCAAGTAATAGTTTTCAAAATTGATGTAAAGTTCTAAGGGCAAAAATAAGCATTAACTATATTATGCAGGGTTGTGGACGACATTTGATACTCCAGAAAATTAACAAAAAAATTAATAATCTTTGTTAAATCTGAATGTATTTGATTCTCAAAAACCTAATTGTGATTTATTTGATGAAACCTACTAACAAAAAATGTAGCAATTTATAGATCAAAATATTCAAACCACGAATTTCTAGATTAAATGTTATTTAGAGTATCTCATACTTGGTTACTCAAAATCTATTCCTTTATTCACTTTAGAAATAAATGACATTATATCTGCTCAAGACACTGAAAATGGAGAGACATTCTCATAAGATAGTTTGCAAAATGTTGAATTGTCTGATCTAAATAAATCAAGTCATTTAATGCTGAGTTCCATTCAAGATGAAAGCTTTTCAAAAGGCAAGGTGGAAGATAATGACAAATTACAATAACACCCAGAAATATCTTTAATGAGAGGTAAATATGATCAATCCTTCTTTGATCAACAATAAGAGTCTTCAAGATAAATCTTGGCTCCTTTTTCACAAAGAGCTACTTTTAATTTAATCAAACACAAAAGTATGAATGATGACTCTAAATATTTAGAGGATGAATTTAAGATTATCAAATTACAATAAGAATTGGGATATGAAAATCATAACTATCAACAATAATACTCAAAAAATAAGACAGTACTGGACAAATTGCAGGATCAATAATCATCAAATAATAATAATGACTAATAAATTAATTAAAAAAATGAAATGCAGGCTATAAACTCGGGTGGGTCTATTGCAAGAAGATCAAGGAATCATCATTATGAATTGTTAAAAATGAAATCACGATCTCAAGCCAGACCCATTTAATTAAGTTTTATCATCTTCTTGGATATTTGTATTATTTTAAGCGTAGTCTTATTTAATATTCTGAATGTCATATTTATAAGTGAATAAAGGGATAATGGAAATAAATAACTTCTTGAGATCTAAGCACCATATGTCTTTAATGGCATATATTGTGAATTAACATCTCATGATATTCTCTACAAGTTGTCCAAGGTGGAAGGGATTCAAATAAGTTCAAACTTATTGAATACTATTCAATCAAGATTTCAAAATCTTAATTACTTATAAAACATGTCTCTACATCAAGCAGTCTTTCATCAAATTGAATAGGATTTCTTAAAATCCAATATTACACTTTATTATATTGATTAAGCTGATGAATTTAATACTTCTTACACTTATTACTACTCCAAACTCACCATTTATTTCAGACTTCTAATCAAATACTATTAGGATTATAGCTTTAGTAATTTTAATGATTACTTTTTTCAGCAATCTCTTTTTGAAGTATTAAATTTAGAAAATAGTACAAATTTATTTAGATTATTAATTAGATCTTTAATTGATAAATTCTATGTGGAATTAGACTTAAATGATGAATTGATTTTGAATCTATTCGTCATCCAAACTATTCTATAATTTTGTATGTTTTTCTTACAGTTTTGGTTCTTTTTTGATTTGTTGAAGTTACACATGAAGATTCTGCATCTCAACTGTAGATTGTATGAAAAAGATGTTTATGTGACAATCCAGAAATTATAAAGTGTGAGAGAAATATTAAATGACAAGTACTCAATCAATTGGAAAAAGGCTGATTATGTGCACATTATCTATTAGCCACTAAATAAACAATAGTAAATTAACACAACCAATACTAAATAAAACAAAACAACATTGCTTTCATCAAGAATTTAATAGTCAACATTTAACATGTGTTCAATATCGGCGTTCTTATTTGCTCTACTCTTAATTATTCTAATTGTTAATATTGGAGGTTTCCTATTTAATTCATAAAAATAAAAACAACTCAAACCCTCTTATCAACTAGGCGCTGAATTTCTTCATTTCACCATTCAAGTTGATTCCATCGTGAGCAATGCAATTAGAATCAAGAGTTAGAATATTCTATTGAGTCAAAATTCATTAACAGAATCTATATCACCAAAGACTTTGTAACAATCTGCTAACTACTTCATATAAGATCGCTATCAAAATTTAACCTACTTTTATATTTAGGTCGATTCCTTCAAGCATAGTCAAATTCAAATAATACAGGACTTAATCAAGAATCCAAATATCGATTCAAAAAATGCTGACATTTTAAATCAGCTATTTTTTTAAGATATTTGCTCAATCATTTGTCCTGTCTCTCCAGATATCAAAGATAATTGTACTTATCTTTATAATAAAGGAATAATTGGAATCTATACAAAAATTATTAATTACTTAATGGGATCTTATTACTTTGAATTGGAAAATAAAATGCTTGATGTAGATTTTCAAAATACACTATCTTTGCTGAATTCAGCTGATTTCAATCAGATGTTTGGAAGACACTTTACGAATGCTAAATAAGCATTCGATTAATTTGCTCAAGAGAATTTAAAATTAGCATTTGAATAAATTGAAAGTAATTTTAATGAAGCTCTTGTGTATTTTATGATAACTGGATGTTTCACTTTGTTAGCAGTTGGATTAGCTCTAATCTATTTTAGTAAAGTTCAACAAAACTAAATCAACTTAATCAGATTATCCTTGACGATTATTCCGGTGGAATTAATTGATTAATAAGCTATTAATATTCTTCGTTAATTATGAAAATTAAATATAACAAATTATATAAACTTAACATTCTTTGATTTTTCCTGAATCAAATTTTGAAATTATGAAATTACGAAAATTTGGAGAAAATAATAGAATTCCATTAACAAGAATTTTTTTTATTTCAGATTATTAAAATAAGGATTTATTTAAATTACCTATATTAGCTTTGTAATATAGAATTTGATAAGTTCTTGATAATTTAATATATCTTAAATCAATGTGAAATTATTAATAATTAATGAGAAGAATACACATAAAATTTTATAAATATTAGAGAAATTATTAGAAATGCAAGTGCAATAGAACTCTTTAAGCATAAAATAAGTGTTATTATCTATTTAATACTTTATTACAACTTACAAATATATATGCAATATAATTGTTTATTATTAAATAATTTATCAAAAAGATTTATATGGTCATATCTCTTTGTTGTAAAGAAATAAAAGAGGTTAATTTAAATTTTTTTATATATTTGTTAATATTGAGAGTATAAGATGAAGTGTATAATATATAAAAGGAAAGATGTACTTATTAGCTCTAAAAATAATTATGAGAATATTTATATTAAACATATTATGATTGTAATTTAGTTTTAATTTCTATAAAAAAGGCTAGAAGTATTTGTCATAATCGAATAATTAAGATTCAATTGTATTCTCTTGACAATTTTAGCCTATTAGCAATATTTTGATAAAAAATTAGGATTTAATTCACTTTACAAAAAATTAGAACCTTTGTTTAATAAACAAGCCACACCAGTTGCGAGGCACGACCTGTAGATCAAAAGTATTAGCAGATATACCCAATCATATTACGAAGGCATATGTTATTTTTGTAAAAATAATCAAGAAAAAAACAATAACTTCATTTAGTTTCTTAGTATTCGAGATCTTTGATTTCCATTTTTATTCTCCTTCTTGTTAATATTGAACTGTTAGAGATCTAAATTCTTAAGAAATTACTTACATTTTATAATTTTTGATGAGGTCTATAGATTTTAAACATTTTGGTTTCTATGAGAAGATGTAGCTGATTTGAAGTAGATTGAGTTGATTTGATTGTCTTCTAAGGAGATTGCTCTCGTTTACTGCTACATGTGCATCCCATTAAATTTTTAATAAGAAAATATCTTATCAAGGAATTAGAAATTTTAATTGAAAATTTATAATCAAAAATTTGAGATATTGAAGCTTTCTAAAATATATATATATTATTCTCAAACTATTCCTTAATGAAGTATAAATAATTTTTAATTATTAATCTAAATTCATTACAAGTTTTAATGAATAACTAAGTGCAAGGGAATAACAATTAGGCGCGGTAGGGGAATCAGGGTTAGCAATATGGAGGATTTGGGTTCTTCAGAATAATTCTAACCATAATAGGAATTAATTATATGATGTCACTTTTCTAATCAAGCCCTCAAGTAGACACTTATTTCAATATACTAAATTCGAATAGTCTGTTCAACTTAACCATCAAAAACAACGTAACTGATTGGACTTTAAACGAATTAGATTTAATGTATAGTAAGGACACCACAATAGTGAAGAACATTACTTTGACTGGAATAGAAGTATAAATATAGAATAATCTAAGTTACTTTAAAATCCATATTTCAGCATATAATTGGGGAACAGTAATTTTAATATTCACTCTGGATTCTCATTAACAAAGCTTATGAAAGTGTAATAGAATGAAAAAAAGAATTTGTTATTCGACAAGCACGATGAATATCTGATAAAGAAACTAGATGAGAATTCAACGAATTCAAAATATGAATGGCATGTCAAAAATAAATAGTATCTATTATTTGTGCATGACTCAAGTTCTTACCCAAAAAATTAAATTCCACCATAAATTAAATGTATAATTTAATTGAAATATAAATTAAGATCGATTCCAAAGAACTGAAGAAGGCTTCATTTACACTCCAAATCTAGACGTAGATAACTATTTTTTAAGAAAGAAAGATCACATATTGATATAAGCAAATGAGACATATGAGATTCCGATAGAGTTTATTTGTTATTATTCTTGGAAGTATTACGTTATAGATTCCTTGAAGAATGCAGGTAAGTTTTATGAAAATTTGGGAATGGATGTATACGACGAAATAGCTGAAGACAATACTAAGGAGATGCTTTTCGAGACAAATTTCTATTTGGTTGCATTAACAATGGTGGTTAGTTTATTGCATACCGTATTTTCAACATTGGCAATAAAGAATGACTTTTAGTATTGGAAGAATTTGGATTCACAAGAGGGGATTTCCATTAGAGCTTTGTACACAAATTTTGTCTTCGATATTATCATTACATTGTATTTGCTAGATAATGAAACTTCTTATCTGATCATAGTTTAATAATTTGTTGAATTGGGATTGATGATGTGGAAGATTACGAAAACAACAAAATTCAGAATAATAAATGTATTTCCATATGTCGAATTTTTGCATTAAAAATCGTATGAATCCAAAACCTAACAATACGATTAAAAGGCTGCTAATTTCTTATATAAGTTATCAGTCCCATTGTTTAGTGGTTACATTGTTTATGCTCTAATTTACTAAGAGCACAAAGGAGTTTACTCATTCATTATAGAAAGTCTGGTTGAATTCATTTATTTATTCGGGTTTATAAACATGACCCCTTAGCTCTTTATTAACTATAAACTAAAGTCAGTGGCTCATTTGCCATGGAGAACAATGATATATAAGTTTTTGAATACTATAATTGATGATTTGTTTGCCTTTATCATTACAATGCCGTGGTTGAAGAGATTGAGTTGTTTTAGAGACGATGTCATATTTTTAATATACATATATCAAAGAAGAATCTACAAAGTTGATCCTACTAGATTAGTACTTATTATTAAGATATATTTAGGATGCTGGTTACTCATAAGATATAGACACAAAATAAGAAGTCACAGATGGTAAAGAGAAGAAGGATTGATTTTTAATTTTTATTGTACATTCAATTTCATTTTTTAAGAGGCTCTCTTATTGTTTTTATTTGAATTTAAAGACAAAGATTTCTTGAGGTTTTATTTTTTAAATGTAAGAATTTTTTGCATTATTTTTGCTTTAGAGTTTAAAAATATGTAAAACAATTAATTTTATTTTTAACAATCAAATGTCTAGCTTGCCGTAAGTAGGGTTGTTTGATAACCAATTACCTAACTTGGATTCTCTTTCTAATGATGTGCATCTTATATAACAAACACTCCATGGATGGACCTCTATTTTCAGTCAACTTATGGAGATTAGTATTGAAACACATAAACAAAATCAGTCCAACGTAATGTAAAATTATTTAAATACAGACTGCCTTACTTCAACAATTGATGACTTAAATGCATCGAAGATCCAAACATTCTCAACAGAAAGACTAGATTAAGCTATCGCCCATTCGGCCAATCAAAAGTGAACCAGATGAAATCTTAAAACTTGAAAATTTTTCTAAGATCTTTAGTAATCCTAAGAAGGTATATCAAACTGGGAAGTATAAAGATTTCGATCATGTAGTTGTAAGGGACACCATTCGATTCAGCTTATGAAAGCATCAATAAGGAACTAGAAGAACCAATAAGAGACGACTAATATCTATCTGTTCCTAAGTCTATGCAATTATCCAATGACAATGACAAGAATAAGACAAAAAAGAGTAAGTAAATAGATCTCCATCCTCAGAGTGCTAAAAACACATATGAGAACAAACAATTTGCTTTTAATAAGCCTACTCAATAAGATGTTAAATCCAATAAAGAAAACAACTCAAACTAGTTATCAATAAATAGACCAGAATCTAAACGCAATTTGGATAATCCTCAATTGTCGACTGTGCTTGAAGAGAAGCAATCCTCATTGATGACTCCTAATGACAATAATTATAAATGTAAGATTCTTTGAAATACTTCTTAGGTTCCATCGCTTAATCATATAGGTAATATGATTAGTGCAGCACTTCGAAGGCTTCATAAAATAGTTAAAGACCGCCCAATTATTTTTAATAATAATAACTATAATCGGAAAATACTAGATCTTCATCCAAATCTTGTTATGGAGCTAATTGCAATCTCTAACAATAGGTTCTTACAAACAACATCAATATTATGAATTCTCCTTAGAATTTATAATTGATGCAACAGTAACAAAATTAAAATCAATCTTAAAACAATTTGATTAGTTCAAGTACAAAAAATGTAAAATAACAACACTCGTTGAATAATAATGTTCCAATCAAATAGCCAATCGAAGTTCCCAATTAAGTAAGACTTATGAGTATATCAAGCTTCCAAGCTAAAGAGCCAAAAGCTATAGTGAACAAAACGGTAAAAAGTAGTTAAGCAAACGTTGCTTAGACATAGATTTATTAGATAAACAATATGAGACTAGTTAGGAGTTGATTTGGAAGGTTTAGAAAAATAAGAAGTGAAATATTATATAATAAATATTTTAATTTATGGTTTACAAATTTGAGGCTGTGCCATGGGGATTAAAAACTGTATGGTATTTTTAAGAACTCAAAGATTCAGTGCCCTAAATTCTTACTATTGTAAACAAGAAGAAATTTGATGCCATCATTATGCCCATTTTCCCAGCCAATATTGAAAGAGAAGGGAATATTAATGATTTCATCAAGCATTCCTATTTAAAATCAGAATTAGAAGTTAAATCAGATGACATCTAGAAGTTACACTTTCTAATCTCCAATCTGAGTCTGAGTGATGAGAACAAAGAGGTGAGAAAAAGGAATAGAGAGATTTTGAAATAGGAAATACAATTCGCAGCATATTTGGGTGTACCATCAATCATTTTAAGTTCGAACAGTGATCCAATTAAACTGGCCAAATTCATAAGAAAAGTATAATACCTATATAACCTTAGATGTCAATTAAATATTTTATTGATTTGAACACATTTGTATTGGATGTAGACATCACAAAGGATTGGATTAAGTATAACCAAATTAGATAGGAATTACAATTCAACATCCCAATACTTCTTAGATTAAAGAAGGAGATGACAACCAAGGTATTAGTGATAATAATAATGACCTAGAATGAGCAAAGAAAATGGCTATCTGAAAACATACGATTTGTGCATTTGAATCAAGACCTCTTTTCAATGAATGATTAAGGAGCTCCAAAATTGGAAGATGCATAAAACTAATTTTTGACTTCATATTTCCAATTTGAAAACTACATCTCAATAGCTGCCAAATCCCCTTAGATAGATTTGGCTGATCATAGATAATACTTGATTCATCTATTCAAAAATCAATAGCCCTTGTCAGAGCAAGCCAATTTAGCATCTGAATTTTTCGATGAATTATAAATTCCTCTTTAACCTTACAAGGATAATTTGAATTCAGGAACCTATGAAGTTTTTGAATAGGACAAAATAAAATATGATTTGTATGAGGATGCATGCAGAAGATACTTGAAGAATGTTAAAAAGGCTGAGATCAACATTTTAATGGCAGGTGCAGGGAGAGGAGGTATATTGGAGAGAGTGATTTTCTCAGCTTAGGGTGCGAAATGCAAAACAAAGATAGTGGCATTAGAGAAAAATCCATATGCTTATATGACATTAGTGTTTTAAAAGAAGAGATAAAAGTAATGGAAGGATGTGGAAATCGTTTTGGGTGATTTAAAATCTTGGTAAACTGAATTAAAATTTGATTTAATTGTTTCTGAATTATTGGGTAGTTTTGGAGATAATGAATTGTCACCTGAATGTTTGATGTGGGCTTAAAGGTTTTTATAACCAGATGCGGTAAGTATTCCTTGTGATTCTGTCTCATATTGTGTTCCTGTAAGTTGTCCCTAATTGCATGCAAAAGTTAAAAAGAGCTATGGATATGATTCTAGCTACGTCGTTCATTTTTAGAAGTATTACACAATACATGACATTTAAAAATGCATGCAATTTAAACATCCAGATTTCAACAATGAAAATCAATTAGCATAGGAACAAGTATTAAGTGTTCATTCTATAAATAGAACTTGGTTTTTGAGTGTAAATAGGATTTGTTGATTCATGGAATGGCTGGGTATTTCACTTCCAAATTGTATGAGGATATTGAACTCAGTACACACCCAAATAATAGTACTCCAGACATGTACTCTTGGTTTCCTATTTATTTTCCTTTTGAGGTAATTGAAACTTAATAATTGATTAGAAACCTGTAAATATTGCAAAGAAGCAGAAGTTGAAGTTCACAATTAAGAGAGTGAATAATGAGGAAGGGGTTTGGTATGAGTGGTTCAATTCAGTGTTGAGTGAGGATGATTAATTGTTGGATGGCAGTAGAATTCATAATGAAAATGGGAAGAAATAAATAATTGAAATTAAATGAATTTCTATTTAAATTGTGTATATTTATAAATACAATTTTTTTAAGGATATTGAAGAACTAATTTTTTTGGCAGAAAACAGATTAAAAATTTATAATGGCGAAGAAAATGATGAGCCAGCCTGGTTTGGTGGAAGAATTTATCAAAATAGTTGATAGTTTTGGAGGGGAAGATTGTAGAAATTGGGCACATGTGGCTCGAATTCTTTTTAATGCTTGCTAATTTCAAGTTAAATCTCCTCAAAAACTTAAAAGGATTTACGAGTCTTTTAAAGTTCCTAAATAAGAATTATCTAATTTTTAATTTTCAAAATTATTAGAAATAGACATCAAATGTCGAGGAAATCATATTACTGCAACCAAAGATTTTTTTAATTAAACTGGTCTTAGAATGTCTTAATGTAGATTCAAAGAGCATGCAGTTTTGGGCATAAGAAATACTTTGAAGGTTTTAGTCAAGATATTAGGAACGAAGAAGAAATCTCTTTAATCAGTTTTAAGCAGGTTTTCGTACACTTCAATTCAAATAATGTTTAGAGCTGCTGATTGTCAAGATAAGGATGTGTTAATCTAAGAAATAAAACAATATGCCAAACTATTTGAATAGGCCTACCTGATTTACGCTGAGAATCATTTCAAGAGTCAACCAGATTTATTCGAACTATTGAAACCATTGATGAATAGACAGTAATTCAGAAGAGGGCTGTTTTATTTGTTTTTCATTGATGAATTGAAATCGATATCTTTAAAATAGATCTAAGATGATAATGATTTGAAAAATCATCCATTATTACAGAAGACAATCGAATTAAATAAAAAATTACCATTTTATCAGAAAGTCGTTAATTTATGTGACAGAGAAGAGAAATACAATATGTATTGCACTTACAATAACAATGATGATCAATTCTTTAAGATGTACATGGATGAGAATCAATTGAAGAAGAGACAGGCTCTTCAGATAAGAAAACAGAATGAGAATCTCAAAACAGTGAGAGGGAAGATCCATTAACCAGGAGATTAGTTATTTCGAGGATGGAAGACAGTTGTATTCTAGCCAGATGAGGACGTAATGACAGTTGATAAGGAAGCTCAATTGAAGTAGGAATTGAAGAGGAAAAGAATGCAAGAATTGTACGAAGTAGCTTTTGGAGAAGATAATAATTGATGGATGGAGAAGATAATAATTGATTAAACAATAATATTAATAAATAATTATGCCTGTACCAAATAGTTCATATCCGATACCTTTGAGAACAGTGTTGAAAATAGCACCTGTGTGTATGGTACTCACCACTCTGGGCACATTGTTACCAGTGTGTTTATATGATATTTTGTACCATTCTCATGAGAGAATCGATAAATTCTTTTGGAGATCAAGCAGATTTGAAAGATTCATCAGATGCAGAGACATGAAATTGCGTACATTCTGGTACGAAGCAATGGAATGGCAACCAACTGGCAGAGAGAGCTTTATTTCGACTAGACCACAAGTAGCTGATCCTTGAGGAATATGAAAATATATAAATCAAATAATTATTATGTTCATTATGTGTGTAATTTCTCATTTGCTCTGTTCTTGAATCCGCTGAAATCCCACTTGGTTTCCACTCTCTCTGGTTACTCTAAGTGTGCTCCTTACTCATCAACATAAGCCAATTGGATCACATCATGAGCTCTGCAATCTCTGCAGAATAACACCTAAAATATACAATTTTTGAATTACTTTGAAGCATTCCCTAATCACTTACTTGGCTTAATCAAGAGTGCAATTATCATTCCAATAATTACTAATGATGGCTTTACAGAAGTAGCTCGCAAAACCCGTGGTCACGAAATTTGATTCCAAATAAGTACCATAAATATCAACAAGACCTAGATACCTTTCTCCATTATGAAATCCCTACATAGGAAGTAATTAATACTGCAATCACATTCTGTAAATACAATGGATTAATTTTGCATCTCCTCTTGTATGACAATCTCGCTAAATAATTGCCATAGTCTCTAGGGGATGGATGAACTCCATCATCATATTATAAGGCTGATCTGTCGATTTTTGCTAATTCCCTCACTACTTATTGAAAATCAGAAAATTCGCCACTTGAAACATAAATTGTGTTCTTGGACACCTGAGCAATCTTCTCTACATTTCTAAATGTAAGTTGTGCATTTGTACTTGAAATCTGCCATACTCCCATAACTACAAAGTGTATCTACTCCTACAACTACACCGCCCTTGTAAGCCAAGGCTATTACGCTGCCTCCAGTTACTATCGGTGATGTTGTATGTTGTTATTGAGCTGAGAACTCAGGATTGAAAATCATTATGTGTATATTTAAAAATAATTAATACTGATGTGTTATATAATAATAATGTATAAAACAACCAAAATGCTATGGAAAATCAAACTCAAAAATAGAATTATTTGATTTATTAAAAATTTGATGGAAATCACATTAATCTAAGAGATCTACGTCATTAAATTGATTATTGAATCCTAACAATACTATAATCTTAAGAACTAGTTATATATATATAAAAATTTGTCATCATTCACATTATAGAATTCAAATAGGATTTGAACGATTTTTAAGTTTCAATTAGAGAGTTCAAGTTTTCCTTAATCTTGCTTGATTTATTCTGCAAACTTACTTTGGCCATGATTTATGGATTATTTTATAATACTTCTTCGTATTCTCTCTTTAATTAATCATAATCGTCTTAATAGAATTACTAGTGTGTTTCCAATAAAGCCATCGCACTTTCAAGTATTTTAATTAAAGGGTCTGTTGCACTTTTCTAAGGCGAGTTGTTCTTTTTAGACACCATCTTTTATAGCATGTTTTTAATAGTTTTTGTATGCACAAGTTTGGTGTCACTTAAACTCTTTTAAGGAGCAGTACTAGAGTTTGGCATCACAGAGATGTTATCTTTTAATTGGACATCCTGCATATCCAAAGAGTTGTGATGATGATGATGATGGAATGTCCGATTGGATGGGGAATGAACCACAGATCGAACTTTTGATTTGCGATGCATTTTAACATATTCGATGAGATTTTTTATCTGGTTATTTCTATGTTGTCTAGCATCTATTTGTGAAGATTTTAAAGTTTAAGAGTATTTTTCTAGAAATGTTAATTTGGAGCTTACAAATTCCAAACTAATTGATGACAATTGATCAAGCATTCCCATAATTTGCTCAAATAACATTCTATATTCCTAATCTAATTACGTAATAGAGCTCATGTTTATAATCGTTAACTATTTTTAATTATTTTAATTTATGGAGCACGATCCTTTGGCATAGTTTCTGCATCTCCTCAAATAGAAGCTAGCAATCACTGAGAAATAATTCTGGGATTTGAGCAACGATGAAGGCCATTCTGCAGAACAAGAAATCGCACTAGCCAAGGAATTGATGATGCAAGAAAGACACATTCAATTGATTGACTAAACTATAAAGTAATTCAGTTAATCGATCACTTTAGATTGAGGAATCAAGACAAGACTTTAAACTTTGCATTCCCGATGAAATATGCCATGAATCTCATTCAAAATCCAGACATCATTGAAGAATACAAAGAGTATAATATAATTGATGTTTCTGAAGAGTTCGAAAAGATTGTAATGATTTTGTTATTCATAATTTAAGAATCTTAATACCATCACAGAAGAGTAGGTCAAAGGATATTTGATAATGAAATTCGATGATGCAGCTAGTTAAAAGAGCGATGCATGGGAAGATGATCTAGGTGAAGTTGTTGAAGTGGATAATCAAGAATTAGAAGCCCTAGAAAAAGAAGTGGATTAATAAGAAGAGAAGATAATGGAAGAAGAAGAATAAATGATTAAATAGTAGCCTGAATTAATAGAATAAATTGAAGACAATCACATTGATCCAAGTTGGAAAATCGATGAATCTAAAGCCTAATTGAAAATCCACAATAAAGTTATATGCACTTTTGCTCAGAATCCTGTTGCCAAAGACATGATTGCCAGTGGATCTGAAGATGATTATCTAAAACTTATTAAACTCAGCACTCAAAATGTAATTTTCGAAAAGAAATACGACGAAACTGTAGGATTAGTCGATTTTAGTTCTGATGGCAAATACGTTGCTGCTGGTATATTAACAGGAAAGATATATATCTATTTATTAAATGATATGAGTGAAAAAGTACTTGATGGAAGTCAAACGGAACCAAGTGTTTTGAAATGGCATCCAAAAGGGAATGTTATTTTGGCAGGATTCTAAGATTCTACTTTATGGATGTGGAATGGAGTCACAGGTGAAGTAATGAGTGTATTTGCTGGACATGAAGCAGAAATTACCTGTGGGGGTTTCACTTTAGATGGTAAACTAGTTGTGAGTGGTTCTGCTGATCAATCATTTAGAGTTTGGAAACCAAATACTTCAGAATAAGTTGTTAAAATAAGTGCAGTTGCACATAAACACAACTATCATAAGGATGATGTTGTCTGTTTTGTCTAACATCACAAGTAACCAATCATTGCGACTGGAAGTAGTGATTCCACTATTGCATTCATCAATTTTGAAGATGGAAAAGTATTTCAATTCTAATACCCTCTTTTAGGTTATTGGCAAAAGTGATCCATTGGGAGACAGCATTGTTGAGTTATGTTTCATAGGATCTGGTTAGTAGATTATTGTAGCAGGGGATATTTTGGGATCCATATACATCTACAATTGGAATTCAATGAAATTAATTGAAAAGTTATGCTTATGCAAGGTAATGCATTCAATACTATTCTTTAGAGTTCAATCACCAAAATATTATTTTATAATCAACAATTCCATATATCTAGTTTAGATGGAAAGATTGTCACCTTTGATGTAAGATAAATGCACAATTACAGAGTACTCTAAGCTAAATCAGGAATCTATGAGATGATAGTTGAAGAAGGATGGATTTTAGTTGGATGTGAAAATGGTTATGTATATGTCTATTGATTCTTCTTTATTATTTCATAATCTAAATTTCTAAAAGTTAGTTCTCATTTTTAAATAGATAAAGAATGCTATATAGAGTGTGTTAAATTCAGATTCTTAATTGATCATAATTAAACACTGAAAATGATTTCAAATTAATATGATGGACATAACTCAAATTTAATAATGATTATAATAAAAAGATAGTGATAATCAAGATTTCATTATTTGGCTAATAAAGCTTAATAATTTTGATTCAAACTTTCATTCTCTTTTCTTAGTTGCTCATTCTCGAGTATATATCCACTTAAGCAACCTAAATGTCTTTTAATGGAGGACTATGAATATTTATATACATCATTACATTTTCATCTTATAATTGCTTTAGTTGGACTTTCAAAGAGTCGTTTTCTAGTTAAGATTTATTGATTTCAAATTTTAATTAATCAATTTAATTGTTGGAACCTTAATTACTTTTTCTTACTTAGGTTTTTAACTCATCTATTTACTTCAATCTTTCTTATTCTAATAAAATATTTTAAGTTTATGCTTGAAGCATTTATTTAGAATGTTGATCCTTTTCAAATTTAAGTACACTAATTTATTATTCCAACTCATCAATAGATTTTTCAGCTTTTAATAATTACCTCTTGTGTTTATCACAATCACTAGTTTTTTGTAGAATAATTTCAGTTAAAATCTTCTACTCACAATCTAAGCCTCTAAATTTATTCAACTCCATTAATTAATGATTGTTTTCTGTTTTTAATTATTAGATTTCTTCCATCTTTGTAGTGAGTGATTAATTCAATCTCTGATTCTCTTCTATTAAAAGCTAGATTCTTGATTCCACCTTACTAAAATCCCTATCTTAATTCTCTTTGCTATTGCTTAGTTTAAGTTACTACATAAACAGTCTGTTAAAATTTACAAATAAAATTAATCAACGTTATATAAAAATAAGGACTTTTTTATGATTAACATTTGCATAGCAAGAATTTTAGTGGAAGATGATACTGTCGAACTATGATTGAGAGTCAAGTCTAAAATGAAGATGTATCTTTGAGATTTAATTGATAAAATTTTAATTTATATATATATATATTTTCATTCACTTTCACTAGAATTGTCTTCTATAAAAAACTATTAATTGAATTGGTTGTCATTTGGATCCATACATTCTACGTACAATAGGTTTTTTAAAAAGGGATTCTTGGTCTGTTTGTAATATTTAGGGATGTCATTTCTGCTTGTGTAAAACCCTAAGGCAGCAAACCTTGGGGAATTTTCTGCTATTTCTTCATCGTGTTTGTCTGATTTGCCTTCGTAGTGAATGACAAGGTATTTGATTTTGCCTACCTCCTAGGATATCTTGAGTCTCTTGATGGTTCCGACATTCCAAACGAAATTTGGATCTCTCACATCAATCTACTATCCGACATCTATGGATTAGACTCTAAAAAATTGAATTAGATAATACTGTTTCTTTTTTCGCCACTCCTTGTTGTTGATTTTAGCCATCTCATAAGTTTTTAGTTCTTCAGGGTGATGTGATTTGATGAATTCATGAATCATCTGATCTAACAAATAACAATATGCGAATTTAGATTTTCTCATGTTATCATTGCAAATATGACAGCCTTTGAAATATAGCAAATATTCATGCAAACATATTTCGCAGAAGGTGTGTCCGCATTTTAAGGAGACAGCTGCCACAATGTAATTTAAACAAATGGGACAAATGAAATCATTCTTGTCGTGTATTATATCTTCTATGTTCTGGGGGCTATCGTTTTCTTAACTTTAGATCTTTAACTTCTCATTCTGCTTTTGGGTTTTCTTCTATTGCTTGTTCATTAATCCCTTTAAAATTTCGTATATAAATTATTAAAGCTGAGTTTACGCTAAAAAAACTAAAAATAGTAAAGAAATCAAACCAACTTTATAGATAAAATGAACAGACAAGAAGAATTAATCGTAAGATAATAATTTAACATTTGAAATATCACAATTGAACTGTGTTTCTAATTTGTTTATATATATATATAATTTTTAAAAATAATGTAACAACCTGTCCCCACAACTACAGGAGGTTCGCTCTAACCAATTTTATCGAATCAAAGAAGCCAATCTGCGAAACCTTCGTTGATGACTTTATAAAATCAAAGAACAGTTTAATCAGCAATGCAAAGAAGTCCTGGGCTTCCATCTGCCCAGAGAGTCCCTTCTGGCATAGGGAGCTTTGCCCAACCAACGAATAATAGTCAACGCATACAGAGTGGTTACACACGAATTCAAAGTGGCTAAACGAGGGTTGGTGGCACACGAATATAGAGTGCAGCAAAATCAACGAGAAGCATTGTGAAGGAAATGTTCCACATTGAACCCAAAGAAATAATATTTGAAGACATCAAGCCGGGAATCCTTTATGAGCAAATCTTGAATGTGTAGAATTTAGCCAAATATCCTGTCAGAATCAGAGTGTAACAACCCAAAAGTAATTATTGGTATTTAAGGAAGCTTCCAAATTCCGAGCTGATTACGACATGCAGCAAGGCATAGCGGCGGGATTAGGTCTGAAGGTTCTTGTTTTATTTAAGGAATCGGAACGAGACATTGCAGCATTGAATCAACATCAGAAACCTCCTCCCTTTTATAAAGATGTAATTGTTATAGAATCTGATGAATTTAGAGCTGAAGTACATTTAGCTGCATATAGAGCATGTTCCAAATTAAAATTTAGTGAATTCATCGATTTTGGATTTGTATAATAAGGTACAGAAAATACCAAGTCATTAATGATTTAAAATGTGGGTTTCGCAGATGCCAAGGTCCAAGTAAAAAGCGATGTGTTAAATCTAAGGGCCTTGCCTAATCTCATAACAATCGCCCCTGGAGAATATCAATAGATAAGCATCATCTACAAGGCTAATGAAATGGGCAACTTCAGATAGACCATGGATATCGTAAGTGAAAGTGGAACCCAAAAATTAGATATCGCTGCTTGTTCAGTCGATTACACCAGATTCCTCATGGATTCTAAAGGGTCCTAAGTGACGTCCTTGGATTTTGGAGAACTTTACATGGGCAAATCCAAAGTCATCAAATTGAAATACGTGAACAATGCTCCCAAAGGCCATCAATTCAAAATCATAGCAAGAAGAGGCATCATAAATCCAAATGATGATATTGTAAACCTACAAACCCCCAATGAATTGGGAATAGAATAGAGTGAGAAACTATTAGTGATCTAACCATCCACAGGATATGTCTAAGCATATTCTAGTGTTGAGTTATCCTTAACTTGTATGATCCAAATAACTCCCAAGGAACAGCAATTAGCCAAGAAAATCTGTTTTGGAGTTGACGTAGAGAAGGAGTAAATGTGCAGAGAAATTAAATACTCAATTATTGTTCAATAGCCTGATGAAGATTTGATTGCTTACACTAATGTGAAGGCATTGCTTCCTTTAGTTAGAATATCGAAGTAAGCCTTGTAATTTGGAGATTGCGATGTCAATGACAATAAAGACATTCTATTCACCATTTCTAATTTATAAACCTATCCTGTGGACATTTCATTTCAAAAGGTATCTTGTTTCTTTTTTAAACCTGAAATTGTTACGATTAATGGTTTATCTTAAACTACTGTCCAAGTTAAGTTTACTCCAAAAAATGTTGGGAAATACTCTCAAAGTATAGACATGATACTCAATGATTACCTGACTATTCCAGTTAAAGTCAATGGAGAAGCTTTGAAGATAGCCAAGAAGAGACCTTAAACTAGAGGACCTGAGGCTAGAGCTGAGGATTTCTAAATAGATCCCAAATTCATTGACACTAAAGAAATAGAATATGTTAAAAAGAGAAACAACGAACTTATTGAATAAAATCATCAGCCTGGCAATATTGTAGAAGGATATTTTGAAGATACATAAAAAAAGCCCAAACCTGCTACTTAGACAAACAATTTCCTATAGGACTCAAGGAATAATCGATTAGAAAAATAGAGATAATAAATAATTTAATAGAGAGTTGAAACAATCACAAAGGCGTAAGAAAAGTAGAAAGATGAGGGATCAAAACCTCCCAAAGATTTTGAATTTGAATTGGGATTGCAAGTGGATAACATGGATAATGATATTGATATTCCGTATCATAAGGAGGGTCTTTATGTAGTCAAACCATTCCAACAGTATGAGCCTTTAAAAAGATAGGATGATGAATTGGTAGACTTCAAGCCAGATCCAAAATAACCAGTCAAGAGAATTCTATCGGGGAGACCATAATCTCATAAACAAGTGAGAGATGTGAATAGGGAATTGACAGCAGATGATTTGAAGAGAGTTCAAGCAGGACCCATAAAAATTGATTATGGTACAATTTACATTAACACTCCAATGTCAAGGACATTTTTTATACATAACAATTTGAGATATGCCATCATAGCCAGACTTTGTATTGACAAAAAGGAAGAATTGAAAAAGACATTCCAAGAACCTTAAGTGATAGATAGTGGTGAAGAAGGATAATTTGAAATAATTGTTTAGGCTCAATCATTAGGGTAGTTGAAATAAACCTTGAGATACATCTTAAATGAGAGACACTCATTTGAAATCATGGTTGTGGCTAATGTAGAATCAGTGAAATTAGAGGTTTCTAAAACTACTATAAAAATGTAATTTAATGAAGATGGAGGAATGAGTGTGAATGACTCCATCAAATTAAGTAATAATGGTGTTGGACCAGCTTAATTCAATTTCATTTAGACTGAAGGGTCAAAATTCACTCTTGATTGTTTGAGTGGCATTATTTAGGGACAATCTAATTAAATAATTTAGATTACATATACTCCCAGTAAAATAATGAAGGATCCTCAAGATTCTGAGAGTGATGCAGTATTTAAAAATTAGAACCCCACAAGACAAGATGAGGAGAAAATCATTTTAAAAGTTAAGGATGGTTCTGAGATCTAATTGAAATGCATTGGATTAGTTAGTGATGTTAAATGTGTTTGTAAAAGTACTGTTGAATTCTCAGAGATTTGTGTTGCATAGGAAAAGTCTTTGCCGTTTTAGGTTAAAAATACTAGCAGAAACAATGCAATATTTAAGATTTTGACTGAGTATCTACCTATGGGTTGCACTGTGTCTCCATCTTCTGGTAAAATATTGCCTGATGAGAATAAGGAATTCACTGTTAAGATCAATTGTGACAAACCCAATAATATTAATACATAAATATTGTTGATGCTCAGGTCTGGAAGAGTGATAAGAATACCCTTGACAGCACAATGTATAGTTCCTAATGTCGTCATTACTTAACAACTATTTGATTTTGGAGATGTTACTACCTTAGGTAATTAGACTGCTCTACCCTTATCAATTGCCAACAAGAGCAATGTTGAAGTCAAACTAATTTTTGATTTAAGGAATGAAGACATAAATCCAGAGGCCAATGAGGGAGTTGGATGTTTGATATTGAAACAATAATAGGAGTTTCTAAAGAACTATACAGAAGAAGAATAGTAGGAAGAATCAGATGATGATCTCCTCTCATCTGCAAGAATGAAGAAGAAGATGATTTGTCAAAATAAGAAGTACATATTGAACATGACACCTCAACAGACTGTGTAATTTCAATTGCATTTTTATCCTAAAGAATTAAAAAGATATTCCTTTTAATTACCTATTGAAATCTATAAGTTTGGAGTCATTGACTCTATTAAAAGAATGGTCTAAGTGTATGGATGTTCTCCTAAATTCATTGTGGAACCAAAAACTGTAGATTTCCCAAGAAAAATCATTTTGTCTCCTCCTGAAAAGAACAAACCCAATATTTAGGAAATTTTATTGTCTAATCCTGAGTACAAAGGAATGTAATTTAAAATATAAATCGATGCTGATACTGGTAATATTCCATCAGTCTTTCAAGTGATTCCTCTTGCTGGAAGAGTTGATGCTGGCTAAACTCTAAGAGTTAAAGTAATGTTTAATCCAAGATACGAAGGAACCTATTAAAAGCAAGCTTAAATTTATCTTGAAGATAGCAAACCAGGACAACCATATTTGATTGTTCAACTTCATGGAATAGCAGCAAAACCTAGTATACAATTTGATAGAAGAGAGTTAATACTGTGTCCAGTTCCTTTGGGAATAGAATCCAAATTGTAGTTTAAGGTTTTTAATGATGGATTTGAGACATAGAAAGTATCAGTTAAACCATTAGAAGGGTTTACAGTAGAGTTTCTAGATGGCCAAACTGTTGGGATTACAAAATAATATTTGGACATGATGATTAAATACACAGCTTAGAATCCGATTTCGATTTCACAAACTCTAGAAATCATTGATGAAACCCAGCATAGTTACAGTATCAGTGTTTCAGCAACTAGTGATAATTGTTCATTTACTACGTGGATGTATGACAATCAATCAGAAATCAGTCTCATTAAGGGAGTGCCACATTTAACGGAGATTAATTAGACTGATGAATCTGAGGACAGCAAGGAGTCTATTCATAGAAAATTAACATCGACTCAATAGATATCAGAGAAGGCAATTGAAAGTAAATGTGAACATATGTAGAGATGGTACAATTAATTTGTAGGTTAATTGGATTTATTTCCATCCTCCATTGTCTTAATGTAAGGTCATCACATTTTTGAGCTCATTTCATTTCTGACTGGTAAAACGTAGTTTCCCTTTCGAGCTCAATTATAAGGCATTAAACAGAAATCTTAGATTTCCCAATTGCTTTATTAACAATACAAAGAGTTGTTGCTTCAATTGAAAGTAGATGGAGCATTGTTAAATCAAATTCGTCCTTGTTACTTACTTAGTTACGATGATTACTAGTTGTATTTAAAGACAATTGAAATGAAATTCACTCATCCAGACTTTCAAAAATATTCCTAATAACAATTTGATCAAGTTTCCAAATCATCTTATTTGATACTTTTTACGCAAATCCTTCGTATTTATTATTTACCGAGAGTCACTTTGAAGGCGATGAGATAAATAAATGGAAGCATCAATGAGTATCCTTAATCAAATGTTTACTCCACTCAAGAAATGCTTATTTTAAGATGGATTGAACTTTAAGCCACATAATATTGGAGAGAATCAAAGAGTGTGAGGATAGTCAATTTTGGAATGCTAAAAGATGCTCACATCCTAACAGCAATGTTATTGAGTTACTTAGGTCCAGGGGGATTGAAGTACTTTTAGCCTTTGGGTTAAATAACCAAACAGGAATAAGATTGCAGTCGCAACATGTCTATTTTCTTAAAAGGCCTGCAAGATATAGGTATTGAGTCTCATTTAGTGCTCAATGATTGTGTCAATATGAGCAATCCGGAGACTCTATTGATGCTTATGCTATTATACACCTAAGTGCCTAATTTCATGCCCAAAAGGGAACCTTTAGTGTTTAAGTGTGTTCTCGGATCCATTGTAATGAAGACAATCACATTAACAAATACCACAAGAGATCCCATTGTGTATTTTGTGAAATTGGAAGGATCCTCAGATTTTTCCATTGAAGAAGACCAAGTCAAGATAGAACCAGGAGGCAAATATAATTACAATATTAAGTTCACTTCGAGGATCAGTGATGAGTAAACAGCTTTGATTACTTTTTGTAATAAGAAAGGAAATAAGAACATAGCTGCTGCAATCGTATATGAATTAAAAGGAGTCATTTCAGAAAGAATGAGTTAGAAGATATGGACTGTTAGTTCAGTTATGTATGAAATGAAAGAATTTAGTATTACTGTCTAAAACACTTTTACAAATGCAGAATTTGGTCATTTTACTATTTAAATAGTCCCAATTAAAGTACCATTAGTTATAGAGACTCCTAAGAAAAAGAAGAAGGCTATGTCAATGGCTGAAAAGAAAAAGGAAGCCGACAATGAATTGAAAGAAAAACAAAGATTAGAAAGATTAACGTCAGTGGAATTCCCTCCCGCCTTCTTTTGTAAATAGGAGAGTATCAGATTGAAAAGAGGAGCTCAGTATAATTTGCCAATGCAATTTTTACCCACTTAATTGCATTAATAAAAATGCATGGTTGTGTTTTAGGATCTCCAAGTAGGTGAATTCCAATATGAAATCCATGGTAATGTCGAGCCTCCTGAAGTTCTCTATGATCTTAAACCTGATCTTTAAGTTTACATAGATCAACTAGCCTCCTTCTATCATCATGTCCCCTTTTTCAATCCATAATTAAAGGCAGCATTGAAATAAGTAGATCAGCTCACAATTGAGAAGAAGAAGATAATAAACCGTCAAAATTCCAACTCAGTCACATTGTAAACTAAACCTAACTTACCGATGGAAGATGTGATGTTTTCTGTTTAGTTGGAGGAACCACAATCTTATATTAGTTGTGACAAAGTATTTCAATTGGTCAACTATCAATAATTGTTGCTTAATCACACTAAAAATTCTGATGATGAGGAAGATCCTTAGCAACAACTTCAGAAATCTGACGACAAACAAAATTTAATCCATTTCTTCATGAATTTCAAAACCGCTGTCAAAGACTATCTGAGCCATTTTATGTTGGTCAATGAAACAAAGACTGATGTAAGAAGATTCAGAATTTAAATAACCTCACTTCCCAAGCCGATCACTGTCATATTAGAGATGACAATTCCTGCAAGGGAAGTAGTAACATAAGAAATTCCGATTGTCAACAATACTGATCGAGACTTCAATCTAAAAATCAATTTGGTTGGAGATGATCGGTTCTCAATATTAGGGGATGGTTAAAGCAAGAGAAGGAAACAAGAGAAAGCTGCAGATCACAAAGACACAAAAGAAAATACCCAAAAGAATAACAAGGATCAGGATTCCCATCAATAGAATGTCTAAAAAGAACAATTGATAAAGAAGAAACTCAATAATTAACCAACAAATGGTGCAGTAGTTGTGTAATTTGCTCCTGAATGGATCTGTGAGGTGAAAGCCAAACTATCTATTATCAATCCTCTAACCAATGACTTCTATGAGTATTAACTAATTGGAAAAGGAGAAGAACCCTTATCAGAAGGACATTTCACAATAAAAGCAGTGGCAAGATAACCAATCACCCAAATCATCCCAGTGGCTAATAACACAAACGAGGAACTCAGATATTCTGTGGAAACAGATGTCCTAAATGCTGCAGGTGAATAGGAGATTACCATTTAACCATAAACAACCTATGAATATAAATTAAACATCAATCCATTAATTAGTGGTCAATTCACTGGATCTATTACCTTTACTGGAAATGGTCATTATAGATGGTGGACCATTATGCTAGATACTGCGAATCCCAAGCCATTAGGCACAGTCGATCTAGTGTCTCCGATTAGAAAGGCCATTGCATTTGATATCGAGATTGCCAATCCTTTGCCAGAAAATGTTACATATGAAGTCCAAATTATAGGTGAAGCCTTGTCTGGTGACCCTTGGTTTTCAGTCTTGCCAGGAGGAACATCAACATATTAGTTAATATTCTAACCAGTATAGGAGGGAAGATGGAAAGGGAGTATTTCATTTTGCCATCCAAAAATGGGAGAAATTTGGTATACATTGAATCTCATTGGAGAGGATCGAGGAGGTATCAAGGTTCCCTAATTTAAAACTGAATTAGGGAAATTAGATAAATGCGAGATGTTACTTGAGAATCCAACTTGCAATACAATCGTAGCAGAGATAGAAAATAGCAATCCTACGAATTTCTCATTAGAATTTGAGGGAGGCCAATAATTAGTATTGGAACCTTACACTTTAAAACCTGTCTACGTTGTATTTGTCCCTTCAGCCCTTACTGCTCACTCAGGAGAAATTTAAATTAAGACTAAGGAAATTGGCAAGTGGATCTTTTTATGTTTCGGAACTGGTGAATCCCCAACTCCTTTCTAAGAAACCACTGTAGTATGTAAGGCAGGACAATCTGTCACTTAATAAATTGAATTCAAAAATCCTTTGAAAGACTCTTTGACTGTCCAATTGGAGATGCAACAATAAAATGAAGGAGTGTTTACTTTATTGATGAAACGATAAAGAATTACAATCGCTCCTTAATCCAGTTTACTAATACCATATTAATTCAGTGCTGTGGATATCAAATCCTATAAATGCAATCTTGTGCTTGTTATGAACCATCAAGTCAAGTGGACTTATCCTCTATTAGGTTTGATTGAGAATGAAGAGATGAATAATGTTCATTTCATATAAACAAAATGTAGGATACCTTTAGTTACTAAATTGAATGTAGTTTTGGATGGATTAAAAAGCAATGAGAAGGTAATGTATAAAATAACCGATATGGAAATTCTAAAGAAACATCTAAAGATTAATTTGCCTGATCATCACATTAAAGATGTCACACAGCCTCTCAGTTTTGACATCAGATTTATTCCGTACAAGCCTTTCAAATTGCAAACTGAATTACAAGTCAAAGTAGAATCTGGTGGATTATGGAGGTATTTCTTACTATTTAATTTGTAGATTTAAATTATAAGTTAATGCTCTAGAACCACAAATCGACGACGTTATTGTAATCACCTCTGAAATCAATCAACTAACAAAGGTGAGTTTTAGGTTGACCAACAGAATTGAAGAAATTGCTAATTTTAAGGCCTACTTTACACCTGATTCTAATTCTGAATTCACCGTTGAACCTACAACTGGTCTACTAGAGCCACATGGTAAAAAAGGAACTGAATTCAAATTGGGCTTTAAGCCTAAAGAATACGGAATTCGTAAAGAAGCCAAATTGATCATTGAAACAGAATCTATGTACTGGTAAGAATTTTTATAACCTTAAGGTCTTACATACTCAAAGGCCATTTACCAAAATACATCCCACCAACCAACGTTAAGGGTCATGGAATAAATAATGAGTTGGCCAAGATTCCTGCTCATAATCATGACAAGAACTTTTTAATAGAAAATATGAAGAAACCAAACAAAAATAAATGAAAATTATTATATTATATTTAACTTTAGTTTTAGTAGCATATTTAAAATAAAGGGTAAGTGAGGACACGATCATCTATGATTCACCTAGATTTCTTTAGTTATTCTATATCTTTCTTTGATTCTTTTAATCTTAACTTTTTACTCCTGAATTAGTTGTTTTCAATTAAATGATCTTAAATCAAAATCTTAATTTCTGATAGAATAAATAATTCAAAAATATTGAGACTATTATAATTTTTTTGAATACTCTATTCTAAAAGATTATCTAAATTAATACAATTTTGACAAAATATTTATTTAAGAAATTTCATTAAATTCTTTATAAATTTAACCATTCATTCAATATTTCTGAGTAAAAGAAAAACAATAACATCATAAATTATATATAAAAATAACAAAATTTGGTTATGTGTGTATTAATATTTACCATGTTGAATTGAAAAGGGTAATCAAAAATTAACAGTTCAGATAGCATTAATAAAAATTTGATTCTCATATAATCTGAGGGTGTAAAATCAAAAGATATATTCACTAAATGTTTATTTAACATAATTAAATAACAATCTTAAATCATCTACATCTCTAAAATTAGCTCTACCAAATTAGGAAATAAGGAAACCTAGGCATTAAAAGTGACCAATGAAGAAGGTAAATCAAGTTTTAGATTTCTATTGATACATTAATTAAAAAAGGCAATCATTAAGTTTTTACATACCATCTTTATTATATCAATTTTAGGCAATATGAGTTTTTTAATATTAATTTATTTGATGCTCTCAGATTTTTTCTAATCTATATGCAAATTTCTTCTGCTTTAAGTGCATTTTAAGTTTTACACTGTTATGATCAGTTTTTGAATATATAAGTTTTTTATTAAGGATATTAATTGATTTCTTGGATGTTCTATGTAAATAATTGTTTTATTTTGATGATGAAATTATGGAAATAAAGAAATTAATAAAAGTTATTCTTATTTTTAAAATTAATAGGGATTTAGAATAATTGCAAATTATTTTATGACTAACGAGAATTATAAATAAAACTTGAGTGATTTCATTACAAATGATTTGGAAAAGGCATTTGCAATTATAATTTTGATGATGAATACAGTTATGATTTTATGGCAAGCGTCAAATTTTCACAAACTAATTAGATTCTATATCAAAATCATGGATCCAACCCTTTTAAAAATAAATACTCTATTGTTCATTCTATGCTTAAGTATTAATAGATTTGATTTAAGTAAGGATTCAAGCCTATTCTTACGCAGTATTAGGATGTTTCCTAAAGGAACCTGGATAATAGTTATTTTAGCCCTCTGTATTCAGAACATTACAATCTTCAAGCTTCATCTTTTATGATCTTGTTTTGGGAGTCATAGGAGCAAAATGGTAAGAGAATTGATTTATTTAAGGATTTCAATAATGCAAAAGTTCTTCCAATATTTTAAAAGTATTTCTAATATTGAAATGATTATCAATGTATTCCTATTTAGTTTTTGGTTTGCATGCCAAATATTTTTGTTTGTGGCAGAATCATATCACTACTCAACATGGGATTCAGAAATAGACAGAATGTATAATAAATATGATGGTTAGTTATTCAATTCTTTATTTCGTATACTCAGTTTTAACTTTAATAATATTTGTTTTAGGCTGTGTATTGTTCAAGAATCACATTAGATAAATCAATACCATAAGCTAGAAATACAAAAAATACGTATAGTAAATCATAATAAATTTAGCTTATTTACTCAATTGTTTTGCTAATATTGGGACAAGCAGTGAGACTAGTATTCTTTTAGCTTAGAATTTGGTGTACGAGCTTTTTAATAGAATTTAAGTATGGGTTTGACAGTGAAAATACAAGTGACACTCTATTATGGTATGGATTTATTGTTTATGACAAGGTCATTCATATCGTTTGGATTATATTTGCTGAGCGATTACATACCTACATCAATACTGATGTTGATATTTTATCCGAATAAAGAGAGATTAAAATAGAGCTTGGTAGTGGAGTCTGCTGTGGAAATAGAATGATAGGTATTTAACAATTATTTTTATATTTTTTAATATTCATTTAACATATTTTACTTTAGGTTTATTATCTTTTTTCTTTTTGTCTTTTTTATCATCTTCGGCATATTAAGGCTTCTATAACCAACCCCAAATGATTAGGGAACCTTTGTACAACAATATTAATGGGATAATCCAATAGCCATACCAGAAAAAGTCAAACAATATGCTACCAAGCTAATTTAGATCTAAAATATACTTGAATGGCTCCATTTAATGCTAAAACATCCAAATAAATGGAATAGGAATCTGCGTTCAACCCCAATTCTAATGACTTGCTAATCTAATTATAGCAAAAGTATTGTATTAATGTGATTATTGAAATTACTATGCCACCCCATATTGTCAAAGCATAACCATAATATAAATTGGCAAGCAGAAACAATATGCAAATAGCAGTCGTAGGGTAAAAGTAATAACCAATGACTTTTTATTTAAATTAAGCTATTTTTTTTTCGCTTTGGTTTCCCATTAATAAAATTAATGCATTACGTGTATTTTATTCTTTTAGTTGTTCTAGCTTCTTGCAAAATGACCAACATTACAAATTTAGAGAAATGGGTCCAAAAATAAAACTACACTTTGATCTTTTTTACTCGTGATGATTGTAATCATTGCCAAAGATTGGAAGAAGAATTAGAAAAAGCATCTGAAATGATCAATGTTGGTACTCCTGGAAGTATTGGATTTCCAGTAGCTAGAATCAAGAATTACGACCTGAATAGATATCCTGTTCTAAGACTATACGTTAAAGGACTTTACACAGAACATTCAGGTGAATGGGAATAGAAAAAATTAGAAGCATGGACAGATATAAGAGCATTATCATATATATCAGATTCTGATTCAGAACCAACAATAAGATGGATCCATGAGTCCCATAATATTAGTGTTTTAGTTTTCAATGACTAATTCAAGTAGGAATTGAAATGGCTCAAAACTCTCAAGCATCACGTCCATTTCACTTATACTACCCTACCAAATGCTCGATCATTACTCAATGTCGGAGAAGAAACAACACTTGTAATGTTTACAGAAAAAGGTCTGAATAGATATGACTATGATGGTGAAATTACTTATGAAAAAGTCTTTAAATTTGTTGAGGATCACGAAGAAAAATATTATTAAGAATTTACACAAGAGGCAATTGAAACTGCTTTTTATGAACCAAAAAAGCCAGTCTTATTCATTTTTGATGAAAAAGATTATAGAGACTTAGCCAAAACACATTAAAAAGAGTAATAATAATAATATTAATTCTAGAATTAATACAATATTAGTCAAGTAGGACTAAGTGACAGATCGACTATTGAATTACTTAGGAGTTAAAGGTATTTAACGTCCTTTAGCTGTTATTTATGATTAAAATCATTCTTAAAAGAAATATAGAACATAATTTTCTGAATTAAGTGAACTTAGAAAGTTTGTGAATAATTTTCTTAATAAAAAATTGGAACCTTATTATAAGAGTTAAACACCTGTTAAAAACGAAAATTGGGAGAAATAAATATTAACAATTGTTGGAGAGGACTTACCTAAACATGATAATATTTTTATCTATTTTTATTCAAGTTGGTGTAAAGTCTGCCAATAATTTACTCCTATTTTTGAGCAACTATTTTAAAAATATAGAGGATAAAAAGCTTTTGGCATGTTTGATGCCAGTGAAAACGAAGTAAATTATCAATTTATTTGTTTGTTTAGGTTAAAGATTAATTCATTAAAGAAGTTCCAATGATTAGATGGTATAATTCTTAAACAAGACAAGTTGTTACATTTGAAGGTCCATTAACATTAGAAGCAATTAGCGAATTTATAGATAAATAAGGAAAAAAGTAAGTTTCTGATGATTTATGATGTGTAAAATATCTATTGTATTATAATTCCCTCTTAATATAGTAGGTTCATAGAGTACATAATAAAAATACCATTCATTCAATATTAATTTTATTTTTCTCTTTGACATCCCAAAAGCCTAATGAATTCTGATATAATTTACTATATAAATGAATTCATAATATAGGATTATAGTTATTCCCATGATTCATTTTGAATATCTATATCAGAATTAAGAATTATTTATTTCATATTATTCTTCCTACAAATTCAAACAAAAAATCAAAGAAAATATAAAGCAATATTACGACTCACTTTTACAAATGAATATCAGTAACTTTAATTCCTTATGAAATTTAACAGGATTGAAAGGTCTTGCTAAAGATTAAGAGTAAAATGGAATCATTGATTTCCAGCAAATTTAGCGGCATTTAAATTGAAATTTATTAATGATTGATTTTCAGAGGATTGTCTTTAAAATTCTTTTTCAAAAAATTTAATTCGTTTTGCACATTAAGTTAATATATTAGATTGATTAAGGCAATTACATATGAGAGGTTCAAGGAAATCCATTGTGGAAGTGAAAAAACATGAATAAAACAATTTATAATTAATCATACTTTTTTCTTTTATTACAGGAATCTAAATACAGAAAAACCTAGATTTTCGCTTTGACTACGTATTCTCACATCCTATAAATATATAACTATTATACATGTTCAATTAAGGCCTTTTAACATGGTACTCTGGGATTTTAATTTGATCGTTGCTTTTCATCAGTTTCAGATTCCTCTAATATGACTTCATCCGGCGTGTAAATAGCCAATTTTTGTTGTTGAATTTTAGGTCCTTTGGGGGGTTCAAGGGTTAAAGGTTCAACTACTTGTGGAGATTATTTAGCCCTAATCAATATATAAATTATACTTTAACGTAGGTGTAGGAGGTGGCTAATCGTGGGTATCCAAATATTCTTAATAAGTCATTGAAGAATGATATCTCGTTCTGATTTCTGTTTAATAAAGATCATCCATAACAATTTTATTTTAATAATTGATTATTGAAGTTATTATGTATTCTACTATAAGATTATACGAAGTATGAGGGATTTCTAGGAGCAATCTAATGATAAAATATTTTATAACTAAGTAATCGAAATGGGATTTGTTAAAAAAGTAATGTTTAAAGTTTTGATAATAGACTTTTCATAATTTGAGATTATTCCTTAGGGGTTCGAAAATACTATCTTAAATTCGAATTAGTCTAGAAATTAGCAATGAACTTTACAAAAAAATAGTTAAATACTAAAAATTCCAATTAAATTGTTTATACTAAAAAAAATAATTTTAATTCTAAAATGAACTGAGATTTATTAAAAAGTGATAAGGAGTTAAGTCTTTGGTTATGGTTTTGATCAATGAAGGAAAATTCATTTGTATTGGAAATAAAAGAATGAAGAAAAAAAATCAGTAAAAAGACTTGTTAAGTAATCAATTTAAAGAATTTGAATTATGATATCATTTTTTAAAGGTTTTCATATTATCAATATAATTTTGTGATTACACTAAAATGCAACTTGTGTTAGTGGATAAATCGATTTCGAGAATTTAGATGAGAAATTCATAGAAAAAAAAGAATGAATGAATAAAAAGATTCTTAAAACTATTTCATGTTAATTTTGGTTATCATTCAGGATTTCGTAAAAATAATGTAATCATGATTAACAAATAAATAATATCAAGCTACTTTATTTACAGAGTACACTTCAGTGCTTTGGCTATGATTTTTCTAAGATTTCATTTCTTCAGCTTTGGATTATCCTTTTAATTCATTTTTTTATCTATTCAGATACAATTCTATCTTATTTAATGATGATAACAATGGAAATTCTGTGATATATGATTGGATTAGATATTTTTTCAATTATGGTGATTATGTCGCATTCTAAGAAGAGCTAGATAAAAGACTTACAAAAATATTATTTTTCTAGTTTTCCTCATCCAAATTAGCTTGAAGGAATTGTATTCCTAAGGGCTTCTTGCTTTCAAGAGGAATTTCAAATTTTTATGGAAGCATCTATTTTTTAAAATCAAGGTAAGCAGATTTATTAATTCTTGTGTCAAGACGATAACCTTTCATTTTATGGGTGTTTTTCATTGTTTAATAATAAGTATTAAATATTAAGGCTAACATATTAATATTGATCGATATATATACTAAAGCATTCAAGTAATTAATATAAAATAATGATAGATAATCAAAGCTATTTTTGTTTTAGAAGTAAATTGAAATAATTCAGATGTAATACTATATAAATTGATATATCAAATATGTGTTTAAACATTTTACATTTTATATTTTGTTTGGATATTATAAAATATTTGAAATAAATTTATATTTATTTTAAATTATTTAATCAAAATTGCAAATGAGGTTTGCTAAAAATAAAACCTAATCTAAAAGTTAAATATTCCTACTCTTGTTGTGCCAACATTGAATGAGATCAAGTAGAATTTACAGGTTCGAATCAAATTATTAAATGTAAAATTATATTAAATTACAACTATTCATTTATATATATAAGTTTAAATTTGAATTTAAGGATGTTATAAGTTTGCATAAGAGTTCGTCCTCTTTTAAAACATGAAAAAAATGCATAATGGTTCGTCAATAAGAATAATATAAACTCTTAGAATAAATCTTTTACATTTGACTAAGTAGAATGTGAAACAAGGACTTAAACTCTTTATAATAAAATAGCCAAATAGAATGTCAAGAAAGCGCTCAATGGCTATCATACAACAATAATGTGTTATGGATAAACTACATCTGGAAAAACATTCACAACCTTAGGCACTCATGATAATCCTGGAATATTACCTTGCGCCTTAAGAGATGTTTTTTTAGATGACAATGTTAAATGTTCGATTTAGTACGTTCAAATATATAATGAAGTTATTGATGATCTTTTGGATCCAAAATGCACATCTTTGCAAATAATGAATGATTAAAAATGGGGTACAACTTTACAATTGAAATAAATCCCAGTCAATAGTTTTGATTAAGCAATACAACTACTAAACGAAGGAGAAGAAAGGAGAATCTACAGAGAGACTCAGATTCATGATAAAAGTTCAAGATCACATACAATATTTCGGATTTTTATAGAAAATGGCTCTCGATATTCATGCTTAAACATAGTTGATTTAGCTGGGAGTGAGAGAGTGTCATCAGAAAATGACATAAATCATGAGACAGGTTACATCAATAAGAGTTTGTTAGCATTAACCAACGTTATCAATTAATTAACAGATTAAAAATAATAGCATATTTCATATAGAGATTCAAAATTAACAAGGCTGCTTTAGAATTCATTGGGAGGGAATTCTATTACTGTTCTTATCTGCTGTATCTCTCCAGGAAATAATACATAAACATTGTCAACTTTGTAATTTGCACAAAGGGCGAAGATTGTGAAAAACACTCCTATTGTAAATGGGGAGAAGCAGACTTAAGAATTTTAGGACTAACAGTTTCAAAGTTCTTGTTATTCAAATTTCAACATTTTTACATATGTTTAGTCTTTATAATAATCAAATAAGTCTTCGTTTTAAACTTTACTCAAATTAGAACAAAAGTATTAAAATAAATACTCAGAACTTCTTTAATAATATTACAAGGAATTAAGTAAATTCACAATAAATGAGTAAGATTTATAAGATACCATATCTACTTTGGGAAGAAACATTGTAATTTAATTAGAAGAGATGAAATAAAGTATATCTGATACAAATAATGAAGATTCATAATACAAACTATTAATTTGGGGATCAGGATAAGATGGAAGATTGGGACTTGGTGATGAAAAAACCTGTAAAATTCCTTAAGAAATTAACAATTATAAATTTTCATAGGTAAGTTGTGGATTCCACCATACTTTGGCTATTTGTAACGGTTTTATTTATGCGTGGGGTAGAGGCTAAAAAGGATAGTTAGGATTAGGAAATTATGAAACTATTTTAACACCTAAAAAAATCGAAAACTTAAGAAAAGCTACTTAAATTGCATGTGGATGGTAACATAGTTTGGCTATTTGTGATGGCAATTTGTATTCTTGGGGTTGTGGAGATGATGGACAATTAGGAAATGGAGACTGTCAATCAATCAACTAACCAATAGCTATTCAAGAAGATGTTGAATCCATCTATGCTGGCCATTCATAAAGTGGATTCATGAAAGAAGGAATGCTTTACACGTTTGGAAATAATCAGGATGGAAGATGCATGATTGACTCTTTAGGAATTCTTACAGAACCAGAATAAGTGCCTTTGAACGATATTAAATCAGTAAGTCTAGGGGTATCTCACATGGGAGTTGTTACTAATGACGGTTGTGTTTATATGGCTGGAACTTCTATAGATGGCTAATTAGGAACCTTTAGTACAGATGACGAAGTGGCGACTTGGTTTACTTAATTAGATAAATTTAATAGTTCAAATAGGGCTTCTCAAATTCAATGTGGAGATGCTTTTACCTTGGTCTTAAATACTAAAGGAATTATCTATGCCTTTGGAAAGGGTTCATTTAAGCGGTTAGGATTGCCAACAACTGACAATATTTATGAACCTACTCCTTTACCCATTTAAGGTGATATGATTGTTGCTGGATGTAGACATGCTTGTACAATAACAAAGAATGGGTAAGCATATATGTGGGGATTCAATTTTCATAACTAACTTGGTCTTGGATAAGATGATTTAGATTAGGAACCAATTTTGTTAAAAATTAATAATATCAAATAAATTTCGCTTGGTTACTTTCATTCAGCTGCCTTAGTTTCAAAATGATTATAATTAAAATTAGATATTTATTTCAAAATCTGTTTTAATTTCTTACTTTGATAATCTAAATCTAATCTTCATATAGAAACAACGAAACAACATTATAATTATTTTTATTTAAGAATTTTAATAAAAAAATCTATTAATTTTGCAAACTTCTTATAAATTTCATAATATTCATTCACTTATCTTCATGCCTTAAATCAAACAAAAGGGGCAAAAAGAATTTTCAGGTGATATTTAAACTGACTTATTAAAAATACAATAGAAGCTACAATTATTTCTTGAGCATTTATAAATAGTTTTTTTTTACGCTTTAAGATTATTCATTAATTATTTTAATTCCTCATTAGCTTAAAACTCTTTATATGCTTGACCTAGAGACTCTATCTTGATTAAAATTTGATTTGAAATTTTTGTTGGTTTGCATTAATCACAATAAGCGATTGTTTTATTTGCTAAAGATTATTTTAATATATTTTAAATTTTTTCTTTGTCTAAATAATGTCCACATTTATTTTAAAATGGTTACTACTTTTCAATAGCTTAGGATTAAATAAACATAATAGCTGATTGGCCTTTGGACAAATTACTTTGAATAGTAGTCTTCGTTAAATCATTCTTATTAAAAGATTTTTATAATTCACTTTCTAAATTTTTATTTCTATTCTGCAATTCTTCAATATCCTATTTTATTTTATTGTAATCATTATACATATATTAATTCTTACTCCTCAGATCTTCAATAATTTAGCTCATATTCTTTTTTTCAACTTCCAATTAATTATTTTTATTCTGCAACTCTTACAATTATTATTTACATAATTATTTAGCTTCTATATATTTTTATTGAATATGTTTTATTAAATTAATTAGAAAAACAGATTTACGTTATTTCTAAATTTCATCCTCATTAATAGGCACTTGATTGTTTTAGGGGCTAATTACTATTGATGGCCCTTATTTTTTTTCATTAAGATTACTATTATTTTTGATAGATGCTTTGACTTAAGAATTTTATTGAGATTGATCACCATGTGCTTCACCTTAAAGCTTTTTTTGATTTGTTGATCCTAATTGAGATTATTATTGTTGATTAATTTTTTAATTTTATTGCTTGTCATTTTATATTAGGTTTATATTTTATTATTACATCTAATTAATTTTATAACCAAAGGATCTCCTGGGTAATAAATCTATATATTCATATATGAATAGAAATGATAGATCATCTATCGGAGTATCATCATAATACAAATTTACATTTTAGCAATCATTTTTATCTTTAATATGTTCAATAATATTGTTTATTGTGCTCTCTTCTGAAATTCGTGTAGATTAGTGTGATTAACTTGTTGGTTAATCCATATTGTAAAAAGATATTAATACACTTCCTTTACTTCCTTAAATAGTGCTTGTAATTGAAGATTATCCGCCTCCCATAAGTTTTATAATATATTAAATTTTAATATGAATTTATAGAAAAACTAAGTGCATTTTATTTATTAATTATAATGCAATGGAAAGTCAATAATTTTTAGAAATCATACAATTTTAAAGGCAAATTGGACAAAATCTTTTAACCGATTGTTTTCTCTTATCCCAAATACAAAAAAAATTACAAAATTAACATTTCTAAATATCCATTTTTTTAATTAAATCCTTTTTAAGAATTTCTAGCTCTAATGATAATTTTATAAAATGATATTATTTTTCTACTACCTATATCTATGAGTACATAGATCTAGGTATTTTTTGGTGACATTTCTGACATAGAGCTATAAAATTTTTTTTGATGGCATCTAAGAGTAACATTTTCAGCTCATAACTATTGTAGCTTTTCTTACAACATCTACATTCAATTGATAAAATAGTATATTAAGAATTATTATCACTGCTAATTCCTTGTTATTCTTCCATATTTACTGATGATTAAGTTGAAGAATTATTTTTACTCACTTTCTCATTTTTTAATTATTACTCGTTGCTTTATTAAATCAATTTGCCATTAATTTCTCCCGAATTATCATTTTATTTCAATCTAGATAAATTTAATCCCCAAGCTGATGAATCTCTTTCATTTAACTTTTATTCTAATCCAGGGCCTTCATCTTCGATTCCGATCTCACTTTAATATAACCTACTTTAATCTGTTTTATAATCTAATTGCTAAACCTTAAGCTTTTATAAAAAAGGCAATAAGTATGTATTTTTATCTACATCAATTGGATTGTTCTAATGATATAAAGTGATTTCACATTTATTTTCATGTTACTATTTTAAATACAATAGAACATCTAAAATTAAAGTATCATCCCTTGCTCTTATTGATTTTTAAGCTTTTGAATATGAATCAAGATTGTTAAAAAGTACCAATTTGCAAATAGGGCTAACGCTTCTCTTTAAGGCTATTTTATTGTTTTATTAATTCAAGTGCTAATTAGTTCTTTATTCTTCAAATTATTTCATTAAACTAATCCTATTATTATTATTATTATGAAATCAAAAATAAATATTCATTTATCAACATGAAATTCGATTTATTTCAAGCGTGATTATGCCAAAATAACATGAACGATGCTCATTCCATATATCATATATTACATAATGGAAATATTTAATTTATTTTTAAATCTTCTTATAAAACTTGACTTAATATTCAAGCCAGAGGTATATTTTGTTATTCACTAAATTTTCTAATTATTTTTTTGATTAATCAACTTAATTTTAATTGAATACTTAGTAGTGATAACTAAAAGTAATTGATCCAGTAAGAAAATCAATAGCATAAATATAAAAATGATAAAATATTAATTGAAACCTGCCTATTATCCAATCTTTTAAGGCTAAAATATGATATGAATTCATAATCATACAGAATTAAGGATTTAAAAATGAAAAAACTTTTAGATTTTTAATCATAACATTTTTAAATAAATCATAAATAATAATACTAAAGAAATAATTATTCTGAATAATAAGATCATATTTTAAATTCATTGCAGATAATATTCAGAATTAATAATAATAAAATATTAAAATAGCATACCAAAATCAATTCATTTTCTATTTCGGAAGGATTCTAGTTAAATTTCTAAATTATTGAATAAATCAATCTTTTTGAAATATCCACTAACAGAGGGGCTTTTGTATTTATATTATTACTGTAAATAATATCGAAATTAAAATCAATTCTTGTATGTTCTCAAAAAAGATCCATAATAAATTGGTCTTAGAAATGATAATAAAATGATATTACATAGCATAATTGATATAAAAAGGATTAAGGGAGAAATATATTTATTTTATAAACATTTTATTATTTAATTATATTTTTATTAGAAATAGATGGCTACAAGATAGAATACTAATCCGAATGATTCAAAGAAGAAACCGAAAGACAAAAATAAAAACAGTGATAAAACTTCCAAAAAAAAAGTCAAATCTAAATCAACTGTGGATCAAGAGCAAGTCTTGAATTTAAGGTAGAGTTTTGAGACATTGATTAAAAACAAGTAATAATTTACTAAAATTAGAGAGGATCTAGAAAAGATAATTTTAAATCAAGAAGGTAAAATCAAGGATCTGAAATAGAATGAGAAAAATTTATTGGAAGAATTGAAAAGACAAGGGGATATTGCAAGGGAAGCACTCAATAAGCTGTATTACTATTAATAGGAGAATAATGTTGAGAGAGAAAAGCTGAGAAAATATTATGAAGGTAATTCAACCGTTAATTTAATAGATTATTATAAAACAAAAGAATAGGAAGTAATATAGAAATATGAAGGATTGATGTAATAATCCAATATTACATTGTCTGATTATTAGAAGAAATTTAAAGACTTTGCAGTAAAAGAATAGATTTACTAGGAAGAAATTGAACTGTTAAAGAAAACATAAAAAAATATTCAAACTCCAAGAGACAGAGTAAATTGATTGAAATATTGTTTGCTAGAATTTCTAATAATAATTGAATGATATGGAAATAAAACTTAATTAAGCCAATAAAAATAATGAGCAATTGAAAATGTTATAGAGTGAGAACTCCAACTTGTACATGAAAATAGGGCAATATGAATAATAGTTGGTAAAAAAAAATGAAAAAGAAAAGACTTTAAAAGAACAATTTAGTAAGCAAATAACTGATTTGCAACAGGAAATTAAGGTAATATTCTTTATCAATTAATGATTCTTTAGTATTGGAAAAATGAGATGGACAAAGTCATAAGATAGAACAATGCCGTTATTTCTAAATTAACCCCATAAAAGCTAAGATATTGATTATAGGAGTATTTATTGATTATTGATATTTGATGATAAGGAAGCAAATATTCTTTTATTAAATAAATTTAAGTTTAATAATGAGCCATTTTCAAAGAATGAATAGAAAGCTTGATGAAGGTTGGAAATTGACCACTATGGTCTGTGAATGTAAAGGCACATTGCTTATATTTCTTGAAAACAGAAATTTATACTGTCCCAAGTGCGACATCATTTCTCAAGATTAAGTGATTCTAGATTAAGATCCTTAAGATGGTCAAAATAAAACTAATCAAAGTGGTTCAGAATCAAAACCAGAGATTATTCATGTGAAGAACAATAAAGATTATGATTCAGATGATTTCTAATTTGATGATTAGGTAGAAGATTTTAATTCAAGATTTTTTGTAAACAAGGCTGCAGCTGATGAAGCATCAAAAAAAATAGGTTAATTACTTTTATAAGGATGGACTATGTTGAGTGAATCTTGTATTGAATGTTTATAACCAATTATGAAGAGTAAACAAGGTGTTAAATTGTGTGTCTAATGCAACCGAGAAGAAAAGCCAGATTAATCAAAAGCATCAGAAGCTAAGCCTTAAGTGTAGCAAGAAAAAGAGATACCAAAAATGGCTGTTCAATAAGTCTAATAGCAAAATGTTTAATTCTAATAAGAAAAATAACTAACTGAACTTCCACCTCAACCATAATTAGAATAGAGAATCAAAATTTTCAAAGATGAACCAGAACAATATAAGGAAGACGCTTAACTGTTAGTTTCATCTCAGTTGAAATTATATTATGAAAAATTGCAATTATCAGTTAGTGATATCAACTTTTGCAATCTAACATTTATTTCTGAAGAAATTAACAAATTTGAGGAATAGGTCGGAAAAACCTTAAATAAAAATGCAGAATTAATGAATGTAAGAATCAAAACCTTAAAAATTTTAACAGAAAGTCATGAAAAACTAATGTAACAAAACTCATTTGAAAGAGCTTCAAAATTTATGGGCATAATATTAATAATATATAATATTGTGTAAAAGCAATGAAATATTAAAATTATTTAGAAATATGTTTAATTCATTTTAGCACTTTTTCAATTATATAAAATTTCTAATTTTACTACTATATACATTTTTAATCATTATATAGATATTTATTTCGAATTAAAATAAGATATATTGTTCAACTCTTCACTATTAATTTTCGATTGGATCATTTAATCTTGATTTTCTTTCTCTCTTTTCAGGTGCTCCTTATTTATCTGGAACTTAATTGCTACTCTGTTCAATTTACTATATCGGTTTGGTGTGCGGCTAATGAAATTCATATTAATCTTATGAATTGTTTTTACATAAAACATATTAAAATTATTATTGAGAGTCGCTATTGTATTAATTTCTATCTCTCATTGATCCAAAATTGCCATTCTACTTAAAGTTATTATTTTTATGTGATTTTTATCTATCATTCTTAGAGTGATGATAATTATTTTGATAATTGTTATAATCTGGATGTCTATTATATTGGCTACTTTCATTTTTTTAATAAGGGTAGTTATACTTATAATTTGTTGATTATTATTTTCTATTCTCTACTTTATGATATTCATCTTAATCATCATGTCTTCTTTTATCTTGATAGGTTGATTACTATTATTGAGGTTATTCTATGAAAGGATTTTTCAATTTATTATCCTATTTTTGGTTGTTATACGATTCAAAGCAGTTTGGATCATCCCGATTTTTATTGTTTTGGATTCTGTCGCTCTTATGGTTATTATAGCTTCTATTATCTATTTAATGATTTCTATTTTAATTAGATTCAGATTAATATTCATGATTATTTCTATTGTCCTAATTATTAAAATCTTTATTATTATAATGATGCTATCTGTCCTAGTAGCCGTTGCGCTGCTCCTTTTAAAAAGAATTAAATTTGTTTTAGGGCTTATTCCAATGTTGGTTTTAATTATAATTTTAGTCTCTACCATAATCATGACTCTATATTTGATTTTACTATTCCGCTTAATATCCTTTTTAGTAATTTCTTTATTAAAACTATGTTTAATGTAACTGCATATTATTATCCTAAACATATCTTTAAAAATTTTATTGATGTTCTTTCAAACTTCCTAAAGGTTATTTCATAGATTAAGATTAATCATCAACATTTTAATTTTACTAAGAATTCTCATCCATTTAAAACGAGCTTTTTTACTGTGATTCTTAGTGTTAAAATTATCTTTTTTACATCTCCTCTTCAGAGATGGTCTCATGATAATACTTATTATTTTCATTATGAATCTCCTCATAATTCATGTTAAATCTCGTAAATTTACCCTAACTCACAATCACCCATCCAGCAGGGCATCCATTTTTATCATAATAACATCCATTGTAATCTGCCCATCCCTCATTCTCATCGAAGTAATATACTTCATTGGGATTGTTTAAATAGAACCCATTTTTGACTTCATTATAGCATTGAAACTTAGATTGGTCATGCTTTGGAAAATTCAGATTACAATCTAATTATTTATTCATTAAAATTAATGTAATAAGTTTGCAATAACTTTCTTGCAGATCCCACAGATACCAGTTTTGGATTCTAAATAAAATGCAAAAATTGCTAATTTACAAGAAAATAACACATTCAAAGTGATTTCCATATTCTATTTTAGATAATAATGCTAAGCCTATTCCATAAACTACAAGTGACAATACTACATCAACAAATACTAAATAGCTTGTTAATGTAGTTGATAATGCTTTTCAAAATCCTAAAAACTAAGTGGGTATGTATGGATCTTTGCATTAAAAAAAAGATATTGCAACTACAAAAACTAATGAATAAAATGAGTTCAAGAAAACTACAAGTTTAAATTAACAATAAGACTAAAAAGATGAATCAGATTAACAACTTAATAATTCAATAAAATTAGAGAGATAAAATTTATAGATCTATAATTCAGAAAAATCTTCCGCAAATTCAAATCCACAAGACTAGGAAAAAATAAATAAAGCGAATGAATCAACTAAAGAATAAAATTCAAATGTAGAATCATTAAATCCTTCTGTTCAAGAAGATTCAAATTCTTCTTAGAAATTGGAATAAATATAGAATTAAAATGAAACCAAACCAAATGAACCCTAAGAATTAAAGCCAAACAAACTGTAATCAAATCCTTTCATATTGTAAAATTAAAATTCTCCTCAAAAATTGGAATAAAAATCTAATATTTCCCAACCATTTTAAATTAAACCTTAAGTATAATTAATTAAGGATTAAAAAGAATAATAATAAACAATAAATTAATCATAAAACTAGTCGCAAGCTTAAAATGAATAGGTTGTAAATTCCTAACCTTAAAATGAATAGATTGTAAAGCCATAAAATGAAATTGAATAACCTGTAAAGCCCTAAACTGAAATTGAATAACCTAAAAAACCTTTAACTTAAAATGAATAGCCAGTTAAACCCTAAACTTAAAATGAATAGAAACCTTAAGGTAATTTACAAATTCCTTAGGCCAATTAAAATACGAATTAACCACCTCAAGTACAAGTTTATTTTATATAAAGTCTGTAAAAGAGAGAGCAAAAGGCATGTAAGTCTTTGGATTTGGAGCTCCTCCTCCAATGAAGATTGCTTAAAAACCAGATTAAGAGAAGCCATTTGAATAATATATTATAGATAGACCAATTTTGCAAAATAAGAAACACATCAGAACTTAATAGGATTTTTAGGCTATTCAAAAATGATTAGTTTAGTAATCTATTGTTTGTTTAATATTTTAAAATATAGCAATTGAAAAATATATATAAATTTTACTTCAATATGGTTACACAAATTGAGGTTTTGATAAATATTCATCTTGATATGCTAAAAGTTTAATTAAGATTGCGAATAATTAATAAATATTTTATTTTTGTAATTAATCATCATTATCTGATTCTTAGATTTGATGTTAAAATACTTTGGTTTGGATCTTAATTCTAAATTTACTGGGTCTATCTTCCTCTTAATTAGGCAAGTGAAATGGCTTGTGTTAAACACTTCTGACTCTCTTAGTATGTAACTTATTGTCCTTGATAGTTCTCTTCTGAATATATTGTCATTTAGTATCCTTCAGGTAAATAGATGGACTTGATATCATATTAGAAATCCCTAAAATTTCGCTTAATTTTACTCAACTTCCTTCAAAGACTCACAAATTGGTAAGCTTTCTCCTTAGAAATCGCATTTTGAATAGATCACAATACAATCTTCTTATTTTTCTTACACGCTGATGTTGGCTTGATTGTCATCCTATTCTGCTATATCGAGCGCTCTAAATTTATAAAATGATTTACAAGTATGTCCTCATTCCATCGTAAGAATCAATTTAATTTCCTAAAGAATCATAAACTTAGTTTTCATTTCGAATAGGTCTTAAGTTTAAATAGTAAATACTTACAATTCTAAACTGGCTGACAAATAATGATTATCACCGTCTTAATCTTTTGACTCTTCTTAAACTTATGTATCTTCTGGGAATTCATAAGGCATTGAGTTCTCCATATCGAACATTGGATCAATTTCTGCATCAGTTGAAACTAATTATTGTGCTCCTTCCTAAGTAGTAGCTTACAAATTGTTAGAATCATCACTGATAGTCACTTAGCTATTTTGAGTTTCTTCTTAATTGGTTTAGACAGCAGGCTCAGATTTAGTATTTTAAGTATTATCAGCTTAGTTTGAGACAAAGTGACCATCAATATCGATATATCCTTGTAATTATTAATGTTATTAAATTTATTAGGATTCTTCGTTTTTTGTTTCATAAACTAATGTAGGAATTGGATTCTCTGAAATTTCATTTAATGCCTAATTTTAAGAAAATGTTAAGCCAAGGAGTAGAGTTATCAGAACTATTTTCATTAAAAATTTTTAAAATATAAATAATAAAGGTAAAACGGATATCATTTACTTAACTTAATTATCTCTTCTTCTATATCATTAAAGCATTCCTAGATCTATTGTTTCATCAATCTCAATCGTAACAATTTATCACCATCTACATTGTTTTGTAATTAATTTTGCATATTATTCCTTAAAGTTTAGATTATATCCAAGTCTTGATTCAATTTTTGCATGGATCTTTAACTATTTTGATAACTTAAATCTTGGACACTGCTGGTCAACTTGTCCTTTGCCGTTTATATTCTTTTTAAAAATCTGTAAACATATTTTCTTAAAATTTATACTTTTGCATTTCCTAAATTTCATGTTATATATTAGATATTTCATCAGTGACATATTCCTAATAATATTAGTCAAAGGTCTTATTTTCATTTTGATAATTCTTTTGAATCTCCTATTGCTAAATTTCTTATATTCTTTTGTCCAATTGAAATAGCGAAGTTTTTAAGCAAATTTCTTAGTAGGCTTCAAAATTGTTAGTGCTCTGTTGAGTATTATAATAGACTTAAGTGTTGTTATTATTTATTCCGTATGATTGCTTTTATTTTATGGATTCGTAAAAGTCTTTATTGGAACAAAACTACTATTAAGACATGGATTAATCTGTCAAAGACAGTTTAAATATGTCATCAATAGTATCAGAATCCTGTTTACCAGAAAAATCCTGTAATATAGGTTTTTTAATGGATCGCTAATTCTAATTTTGATGAGTGTCGTAATAATTATTTTTACTAATAAAAAATCTGTAATCTTAATCATCAGATTAAGTGCCATGTTAAGTTAAACTATGTTGTCTTTTATCTTCATAAACTGATTCAGCAGTCTAACAATCTGGATTTATCTTAGAAGATGAAACAGATTTCAAAGTCTATACTTTTTGATTACTCATCATCACGTCTAACTTTATATCAAATTTTAAATGAATTATACTTTTATTTGCTCTATAGTATTTAAATGTTTCTTCAGTTCCAATTTTCCACATTTGCATCTATTCAACCAGTCTATAATTTCTCTATTTGTTTTCATTTTTTTAACGTAACAATTATTTAATAAATATTTATATTATTTATAATCCATTAGTACCTAAACAAATAAGTAAATAGGATTTCTTTTTACATAACAAATGTAATGATAATAGATAAAACTGTTTAATGCAAGTGATTAAATAAATCAAAGTATAAAATGTGATTTATTTTTATACCTCCTAATATTTGTATCCTCAAAATATAGAGTATCTTACTATTTTAGAACAATAAGTACTTCTTCTTAGATCTATCTATAATTAAAGTCAAAAATAAAAATCATTTTTACTATTTTTGTTATAAAAATTATAATCATTTTTATTTTCCATCTAGAGTTGAACTGTCTTCTACTATCATTTCAAATCAATTTTTTTGCAAATAATGCTCTCCAATCTAAATTCTTTAATATTCTTACTAATCACGCGATTAGATCATTTTAATATTGGAGGATGCTTTTAAATCTAAGGTTCAAGATTTCTCTTATTTAAAAAACGAAGAAGTACAATGATAGGTTCTTTGAGAGGAATCTATAATATAAGAAATTCATTGATCTGTAACAAATTCATCACTCAAAATTCATATATTATAAATCCGTTTTTATTAATATGTAAAAATTATATATTTTAGCACTCTTATTGGTGATCATAACAGCTCAAGAGAGTTTCCTTGAAAAATAAAAGCACGTCAAATAACAGAAGGATTTATCAACTGAAATATATACAATTAAAAAAAAAGGATTACCAACCTTTTTGGGAAGAAGCTCTGATGAATCAATCAAAGAGCAATTGTCATCACTTTTGAATTACGAAGAAGCATTGTTATTAACACCAACTGAAGAGAGTGATCATACAATTAAATTCGTTGAATCTATGTTTATTATTGACCAACCAAATCCAAATGCAGTAAGAGCAACAGAAAAACCAAATTACTCATTTGAAGAACCTAAGCCAGAGAAGAAAGTTTACAGCAATGAAAAAGTTACATCTTTTAAGGAGGGTTGTATTTATGTTTTTAGCGAATGCAATTTTAAGGGAGAACATGCTAAATCATGTCCAGGAGATAATGTCACATTTTTTGGATTACCATTTGAAGTTTTATCCATTCATGTACCAGAAGGAGGATCATTGAGTCTCATTTAAGAAAACGGAACTACTGCATATACAGTTTCCAATAAATGTATGAGAAGTAGACCAATTGAATTCCTATTTGTCGAAGGAGCAATCAAACAATCATTTGGAAATGGCGAATCATTCATTGACTAATGAAAATAAATATATATTCATAAGAAACATGATTTTATTTTTGAAAAGCAATCCTTCCCTTTCATTAGTTAATCAATCCATTATCTTTGATGTACAATCTACTCAAATGTGCTATCTTTGATTTCTTTAAATACAACCAATACTGTCTTATTCATGACTTATCAAATGACTTTTGAACAGCATTTAAATTCTTAGATCCTTCATATAAATACAAATTTAGAAGCAATTTCATCTTTAAAATACAGCAAAAAATCATCCCAGATATGTTACTTCATTAATATACAAATGGATCCCCAGTTACCCTTCTAGAACATATGTGATAAAAAAATGCAGGTTAAAATTATGCTCATCCAGATTTACACTGTGAATCTAAATTATTATTAGAATCAATAGAAGGTTGTTTTTATATTATTAATAATTTAACAGGTTAGGAAATTCAAATTAAAAATGTAAAAATCCACAACCCTTGCAGATTTCACAATTCTTTAGAAATTAGGAGAAGGTTCCTTTGGATAAGTATTCAGAGTAAGTTAAAGTAATATAAATTAGGTTAAACGAGTGAGTGATTAGTAAGAGTATGCTATGAAGAAGGTGAGAATTAACAACTTAAAGTAAAAGGAGAGAGAGAATGCTTTGAATGAGATCAGAATTTTGGCTTCAATAACTGATGCACATATCATAGGGTATAAAGAAGCATTCTTTGATGAAATATCAAATTAATTGTGTGTCATAATGGAATTTGCAGCTGGAGGAGATATCTCAAAATAAATTGGTTCCTGCATAAAGAAATAGACTTAAATAGAAGAGAAGGAGATTTGGAAAGCTTTGGCACACATGACTTTAGGTTTGAGAGTGTTACACAAGTCTGGTATTTTGCATCGTGATTTAAAGAGTGCTAACGTCTTTAAATCTAACGATGGATAATACAAGATAGGCGATCTCAATGTAAGTAAAGTCTCACATGGAGCATTAGCTAAAACCTAAACAGGGACACCTTGTAAAATTGTTGAATTTAATTAGATTATGCAAGTCCAGAAGTATGGAGAGATTAACCTTATTCTTCACCTTCTGATATCTGGTCTTTAGGGTGTGTCATATATGAAATGGCTACTTTAAAGCCTCCTTTTAGAGCATAAGATGTTTAAGCCTTATTCAAAAAGGTATCGTCTGGGGTTTATGAAAAAATACCAAAATCATATTCCAATTCTCTGAGCGCCATGATTAGTTAATTACTCAAAGTACCAGCTCATTTACGTCCAACATGTGATTAGATCCTCTCCGATCCAAACGTTAAACCATTTGTCGAATAATATTGCTAAACACAATCAGGAAATACTCAAGCAGAATTACTTTAAACTATTTAATTGCCAAAAAATCTTAAATAGTTATAAGCTAAACTCCCTAAACCAACTTATGAAACCAACAAAAATGAATATGATTCAATCAAAAATCCTCCCAAATCTACACGATCAGCATCTGTAAATGAGAGGAAAGGATCTCCAATTCAAACTCCTCAAATTCCTAAAAAGGATGTTTCCAAACCTGTATTTATTATACACTAATCTTAGCTTATACCTCCTGGATTAAAAAACAATTAGTTACACATTAATCCACCTATTCGTTAATCTAGTTTAAATAGGCCCAGTTCTTCAGTTAAAAATCTAAGTCCTGCTCCAATCAGAAAGTCAGTTGAGAAACAAAGTCAAAATACTTTAAAAAACAAAAGTCCTTCTACTAAACGAATTTATGACAATGAAAATATTGACAGAAGCAACATAGGTTAAAGAAGATCATATCAAAATATTAAGAATTGATATTCAAATTATATTATATTATACTTCATAAGAAGTATCAAAATATATTCTAGTTTCATACTTCATACTTCACAAGAAGTAACCCAAAACATCTTTGGATTAATTCTTGAGTCGTTTTCTGTAAACCTTCCAAATTTAATTTAAAATTATCAGTCGAAAATTTAAACCATGTTACTAGATTTAATTCTATTTTGTTGAGCATTTCAAACATGGAACCAATGCATATATCCTACCATGACTGATTAACGAGTTCTCAATGGTGATGCGTTTGATTATTCAAGAAAATTTTATTTTGCTATTTGGCAATTAAATTTCGTTCTCTTTCTGGTTACATAACCATTCAAAAGCGTTTCGATAATATACCAATGTTCATTTTTCCAAAATTATAACTTAAATAAAGCTTTACTCTTTGTTCTTAATTAGGTCTATAATTAAAATTTAAGAACAAACCTTCAACATAATTTATCCAACTATTTTGAACAACTGAGTAAATAATTGATGAATATTATCCTTAAAAAAATAAATTAATTAGTGATTCTCCTAGCAATGCAAATGTGTATTAAATCAATTACTTAAAAGCAGCCTTATTTTTAACTAAATAGGTCAACTTTTTTATAATTTATAATCATAAATGAATTTAATTATTCAATTATTATTAATATATTCGTTAATGAAAAAGTGCAGACACAATTTAAAGGCTAATATAATAATACATCTCAATCTTTATTAATTCTTACAGGTAGAATTGAAGACTATTAGGATCTCAAATAATTGTTGTTAGGTTTATTGTATGATATCAAACGATCATTTCGCTACTTAACTATCTACTCTGAAAGTGGTGAAAATAGATCGAAAATTGATAATAACTGATATAAATTTACTGTTGGAACACTCTAGTTAAGCGAGATTATAATAAATCATGAATTATCATCTTAAAACATATCTTACTATATATTGCTTTATTACGTATCTTTTGCTGAAATAAAGAATAGAATTCTTGTTTTTATTTTTTAAAACTAAAGGTTTTTAATAACATCAATTATAAAAGTGGATACTAAATAAATCACATTGATTGATGCAACAAGGAAAATTTAAATAACAATCTATTTCATAAAAAAAACTTCCTTTATTTTACATCCATCTAAGACAAGGACAAGAAGTTAAAAGTGTTTTGTTGAAATTTAATATAAGTATAAAAGCAAAGTAGGATTAAATGTAAAGTGTTAGCTACAATAATAATAAAATATCATGAATTAAAAATAAGTACCTACATATCATTAAGAAATTGATGAGCTCCATATCATAAAATAAGAGAAAGCTATAAGAATTTTAATGAGAATACAATTACTCTACAAGGTTGCTGTTGATATTTTATATAATAATTAATAATGAACGAAACACTCAAACTAGTTCTAGTGGGTTAGTAAGGGGCAGGAAAAACAAGCCTTTTGCAATCTCATAGATAGCAAGAGTTCCGAGCTCATAATGCAGCAACGGTTGCTGTTGACTATTCTACAGTGAAAAATGTGGAAGTGAATGGTCAACTTTTTGATATTTCGATATGGGACACGGCTGGCTAGGAGAGGTTTAGATCTATTACTAGGATGTCTTTATAAGTATAAAAATGAAAAGAAATCTTAGAATTCTAATGTAGCAATTCTTTGTTTCGATTTGAGTGATCCTGATTCATACAGACACACTTAAGGTTGGTTAGATTTTCTACAAGTTAATTGCAGTCCTGATATGGGAATTATAATAGTTGGAACCAAGATGGACCTCCCCACTTTTTATGTTGAGGAAGATCTGCAAAAATATCTCCTAACTTTAAATTCATAAAAGTAGTTAAAGTTATTTCTAACTTCAGCTAAGACTAATGAAGGCATTGCAGAAACCTTCTAATATGCTTATGAACAGGGAGCAAAGATAAAAATGAGAGCTTTACAAATCGATAAATCGATTGTACTCGTTCCACCCAACAAATAAAGTATTCAGAAAACTCAATCATATCGTAAAAAATATTTTCAGGGGTGTTATTGTTGCTGACATTATAGAATTGATTAAATATATTTACATTCAATTAAACTAAATTTCATTGTCCATAATAAACTTATGTGAAAATAGGTGAAAAAATTTGATAATTCCTAATAAATAAATAGCAAATACCGTTTCTTACGGGTTCTTCATATAACAATAAATATTGGTCATACATTTTATTAATTAATAATTTATAAATGACTGATCGCAAGGCTTGGAATTAAAAAGTAACAGCGAACAAAATTACATTTCTAGGAAGATACAGCTATCTTATAATTGGTGAAACAGTATGGAATTAAGAAATGGACAATTGTGGCTGAGAAGATGAAAGAACTCTACAGTTTATTTGGTCGATCAGGAAAATAATGTAGAGAACGCTATCATAATCATCTTGATCCTACCATCAACAAAGAGCCATGGAGTGAAAATGAAGAGAGAGTCATCTTCGTAGCCCACAAGGAACACGGCAACAAATGGGTAGGAAAGTTACAACAATTTTTAGGCTGAAATTGCGAAACTGCTACCAGGGAGAACTGATAACGCAATTAAAAATCATTTTTATTCAACCTTAAGAAGAAGTCTGAGAAGAATCAATAAACTCATAGGAGACAAGAATAGTAAATCATATAAGTCTATATATAGTAAAGAAAAGGGTACACAACAGATAAAAGACATAAAACCTGGAGTATTATCAAAGATATTCATTCTTGCAGAGAAGAGTCCATCAGAATTAAAAGATGATCACATGAAAAAGTTATGTTAAGCCTGTAAAGGACTCCAGGACTCTATCTTAGAATTTGCTTAATCTAAACAAAAATCTTAGATCAATTAGTTTAATGAAGATAAGTTCAAATAATTGATTGATAAAATTATGGACTTCAAGTATATATTGTATTTAAACAATAGTGCTCTTTACACAAAATAAAGAGAGAGTAGATTAAAGTTAAAAAAGAAGAATCACAAAAAAAGGAAGAGTAGAATAGATGACGATGATGACGATGATGATTATACAAGTGATTACAAATACGAAGAAATAAGCCACAAATTCCCTTTAAAGAGATCCTCAAGATTGAACGCTAAAAGAAAAGTAGTATAAATAATATATATTATCTTAAAGCACATAGACAAGGAAGATTATATTGATATTTGTATACGAACCAAAAGAGGACCCTTATATACCATATTGAGAGATTAGTTAGAAGTACAGCAAGAGGAGAAAGAAGTATTAAAAAGTACTATGAAATTAGGAATAGTCTTCAAATTTTCAATAGCAATATGCTTATGAATAATTTTAAGGGATCAATAGTCCCAATAATCATTAATTTACACCAGCTTTCCATGTTTTAACTCCAAGACAGATATTCTTTTAGAAACAGTCTAACCAATATTATGATGACGGTATGCATAATGATGAAGCTGCGTTAAGCAAATCTAATTTTGTTCCCATAGTGATAACTAAACAATATAGTTAATACAAGGACAAGACACTTGATAACTTGGCTTAATAATTACAGCAAAAGATTAGTAATGACTTAAATTGATTTTAGATGCGAATGCAGAGAAATACATTAATGATCATCAACAGGATTCTGATTTAGAAATTAATATTGGTGATGCTTTCGAAATCCCTAAAGACTATAAATCACCATCAAGTAAATTCGGTATTGGTGGATATAGCCCAAGTGCATTTAGGAAGTACAGGAAAAATTAGGAGTCAGGGCTAGTTAACTTCATGATGACACCTCATCATTATAAATGAAATACATTACCATATTAATAAAAGATTATTTATTTCTTTTTTATAGAGCAAATTTAGAAAAATGGAGGATTAGGACCAAATGTTGTTAAAGAGTTTGCAACTTCAAGGAATTTAGATATCAACACCATCTCTCCCTCAAGTAAGACTTACTTTTATGGATAGCTAACATGTGAAGACTTGGTAAGTATTTTCTTGTAATTTTTTCAATTGAGTGGAACCTAAGCCTTTGAAATCAGCTCAATCAAATCAATCAAGAGTTCATTTAGAAAAGTAGGGAAAATTCAAGAGATGCTCTATCCCATTGGTGTTAGAATTGATATTCAATCCATTGTGAATCCTAATCCATAAGAATCAAGGAAGATTATTGTTAGTCTGCTTTCCAAATTGAGTTAATAGAATAAAAAAGAAACTGGAGCTAAACATCTCACATTCGAAGAGAGATTATAAGAAGAGAAAACTGCATATAGGACTAATCAAATATAGAATTTCTTTCAGGAATGGGTTAATCCATCATTATGTTCTTTTCCAGAAATTGAGCAACGATTTCTTAGATTGCATGTGCTCAATATTTTAAAGAAAGAGCCATTAATTAAGCAAGTAGCCAATAAAGGAGTAAGAAAACATTTGTATCCCTCAATTGTTAGAGTTATGGATCATCACTTACAAAAGAAGGAAATGGATTAACCACTCTAAGAGAGATTATAATTAATAAAGAAAATGAGGAGATCTGATGATCCTGAAAGTGTTCTTGGGTAATTTAAAGGACAATTCCAAGCTGAAGCTGAAAAGAATGATTGGGAAGATATCTAGAAAGGAAATAGATAATTAAAGAGAGCAATCAAATTATTAAAAGAAGAAGATAAGGAAGAAGAGCAGGCTAGAAAATAAAAAGAGGATGAGAATCAAGGTTTATTCAATCTGGAAATACAATTCTAAGAGGAGGTAAAAGAAATCTAATAAGAAATTTAAGACACTTAAGAAGCAAAATCAGAGATTAGTGCTTTGCTTGAGGATATCTAGGCTAAATTGATAGAACAATAAAAAGTTTATGATAAGTTATAAAAAAAGAGACAGAAATTGGAAGATGTAAACTAGAAATCATAAGATACTTATTCATAATTATAATCTGATAATAAGGATAAGTAATAAGAATTAGAAAGTGCTCATTCTATTCTGTAATAAATTGAATCAAAAAAAGGGAATGATCCAGAAATATAATAACTTGAATAAGAAATCGAAAATATCAGGATTGAATGGGAAAAAGAAAAAGTATTACAATAAAATGAAGCTGATGATTTGGCTTAATAAGTTTAAGATCGAAAATTAAAACTTGAGTAGATCTAAGATAAAATGAGAAGACTATAAGAAGAGAATCAAATGATCAGAAATCAGGGAAGAGTCAATTTGGAATACAAAGAGAAATTATTAGTTGATCTATAAAATTAGCCTAAAGAAATTGCAAGAAATTAGTATATTAAAAAAATTGTGGATTTGAAGAGTCAATTAGAAAAACAAAAAGCAGAATATCTAAAATAAGCCAAAGAATTATCTTAATTAGAAGATTCATTATAATTTTAAGACAATATGATCAATAGGTATTGTATTGAGATTGAGAATCTAATTAATCAAGATCCTAAGAAATCTGAAACAGTCGTTAAATAGATTTAAAAATAATATTAAGATTATAAAATTGTCTATAAGTAATGTGCTGAATCTATGCGTAATATTGGAGAAAAGAGAATTCAAATATATGATACAGAATTAAAAATGGAGGATATTTTACTAAAGGGGTATAAAAAGAATGTAGAGAAACTCAGATAAGATTTAACAGACATTTAAGCAGAAAATAAAAATCTAGAAAAGCAGAGAAGATGATTATTTATAAATGAATTTTAGAGCATTATTAAATTTAATATTAAATGACTGAAAAGTATTGGTAAAGATATAAAGAAACTCATGATAAAGATCCTCTTAATACTAATGAATTATGGGTAAGAGTCAAACAAGATTTAAAAAGAAGAGAAAAGCCAAAGCATCATCTTGAATTGTATTCCTATTGTAGAACTGAAAATCCTTACATAAAACAAATTAAGAGCTCTCCAAATATCACAATGGATACAGTTGCAGAACTAATTTGCAGATAATCAGCTTGTGAATTGTAGTATTGTATGAGTCTTCAAAAATTGGCAGTGGAAAATAGCAGATCTAAAATAGAGTAACAGTAAAATGCAATCAAATAGTTTATAGGGATGCCGAGATCAATACAAAACTATGACCACTTGCATAATGAACGAGAAGACTAGAATAAAATAAAAAGAGGAAGAGTTAAGAAATCTTGTATTGGGCTTACAATAACCAGAAATTAAATAAGAACCCTAAAAATAGCCTATACTAAAGGAAGAACCTGTCATGTGATTATTAATTGTTAAATTTATTGTAATAAAGACAAAATAGTAAGATAATAACTTCTATACAAGATTAATGATATAGTTAATAATACTATTATCTTTAAATTTTAGTATTCATAAAAAAATGTTTACTTCCTCTAATAAAATTTAAATTAAGTAACTAAAAATATAAAGTAATATATATTAAATTCTAATAAGACTTCTAGAGATTAATATTTCTAAGTTAATTATTCAAATGAAATGATAGATAATATGATTATTAAAATTTTTTCATATTATTTTTTCATTTTATGCTTATTTTCTTTCCTTTTCTTTTTCCATAAGTTCTTGCTTATCTTAAATAATTCTCTTCATCGGACCTTCTACAAAATCTTATAATTATTAAATTGACATCTTTTAATATTGATAAATGAATACTTTATCCAAAGTCGAATGTTCATTTATATAACTTTCAAAACCTTTAAAGTATAACTCAAACCCATCATTTGAAAGAGTGTCTCTTAATACTTAACAGGATTACTGATTATTAAGACTACCTACATTGTTGGTATCCTTTTTAAGAAAATATCTTTTGACAATAGATTTACAAATTTCTACTCCTTAATCTAATTATAAGAAATTAAACCATTCCTAATATGATTGCTTAGTTAAATACTTTTAAAGAAATGCTTCCACTTTTATCTTTATCCAATTATCCAAATCTCTTTCTGACTTCTTTTATAATGATTCCTTCAAATCCATAAATTAAGTAAGGTAATTCTCTCACAGAGATTGTACCGTCATTATTGATATCAGTGGCCTTGAATGCTGACCAGGCATAATTGATCTCATCCTTGACCCTTTCGGATACTAGTTTTTTTCTTTGTATTAGTTAGCTATAGCTTTCTTCGGCTGAATGAATGTAGTCTTAAATCCATTGATCTTGATCTGGCTAGAATAAGGCTTTAGAATTGAAAATCTCTTGAGTTCTTCTTTTAGCGTTTTGATAAGTCTAAGTCCAGGCGTATTTTAATAAAAAATCCTAAAGTTGATAATTGTTATCCAACCATGAATATAATTCTTCATAAGAGATGGTACGATCTAGATTTTTGTCCATTTCTATGAAAATGGCTTCAACATAATATTCGATATCAGTAAATCCAGGTGGTTTCATGTTGACAATTTTACATAATGCTCTGATGGCAGTTTAGAAAATCATGATAAGTTCAATCTTTTCAAGCTTTTAAGACTTGTCCAAATCGAATACTTGGCTTATGTATTTGACCTTGGTAGCAAAATCAGTGTCAGAAAAAATAATCTAATTGTTATTGAATCAATTACTAAAACTGCCTGACTCTCATAGATATCAGTTAAACCATCCGTACTATGATTATTCTCTAGAGTCTCGAACATTTCACCACAATGTTGTTTAAGGATGTCATGATAAACATCAAAAAATTCCCCTAATGACAAAACATTTGTTGCTGGATAATTTTATTACACATATTTGGAAACCTTTTGTATTTCAGTCAAATGGAGTTATCTTAAAAATTGTAATAATGCTTAATTTGGACTGGCTGGTTGATTAAAGTAGTTACCCATTTTATTTATTAATTAAAAAGCTAATATTAAAGAGAAAACCAATAATTATCAAATTTAAAGCTTGAACTAAAATGATAATCAAATTGTAAGATGTCACCTCCAATGAATATCAATTTCTTATAATATTATATCTAGATTTATTAAATAATGCAATTATTTGACTTTAAATAAACTAATCTCTAATATAACTATGTAATTTATAATGCACTTAAAGATATCGAATAACAAGAAAAAGGGATTTAGTTATTTTTAATCAAAGACTAAGCGATAAACTAGTAGTTGTAGTTAATTATATTAAAGTAATTTTTAGTTATGTATTATTGATAGAACTTTCTAACAGTTGTAAAAATTAAAGAAAAAATTAAAATAAGAATTGATAGAAAGTCCTATTGTTATTTCATTTCTTTATGCTGATATTTGACCGAAAAAATAATTCAATTATCATAATGTTAGAAATAATATATCTTTAATGATAAATTTTATTAAACTGGAATTTATATAAACTTTCTTATTATTTATAATGGTATACCTTCGCAATTATACCCATGTTTTTAGTTAGGAAAAAAAATTATCAGGTGATGATCCTGTAATTCTTAGAATTCATTATGAGATTGAATTTAATTATAAATATTTTATCGTTGAAATCAATACAATTAGAATTCAAGTTTTAATTCATTTAATCAGTAATAGTAGTTTATTTAATATTTGATTTTAGAGAATGCAATGCATCTAATCAAATTATGATGATCATAAAATTATTAGATTATTAATAGATATTTAGATTATATTCTAAGAATTTCAAAATTCCTTTTACATGAGCAATATTGTAAAAAGATGAATGGCAAGCACTTAGAAATAAATGCATCTATTTTGATAACCATACTTTTGATCATGGATTTCATAAAAAAGAAAATATTTTTTTGATCAATTTACCAAAAGTATTAAAATAAGATTATGGATATTATAAAGTTATTGGAATTGATTATTGAAATAGTTACTATAAGAATGAGT